GACGTCCTTTTGAGCATCTGCGCAGGCGCAAACGGCGAAACCCGGAAGTAACGCACTCTGTTACTTCCGGGTCGCCGTGGAGCGCAACCCGAAAATATTCATCCCAAAGCTACTTCAACCCGAGGTATGACTGGGATACTTTGGGCAGGAAATGTGCTTTGAAGATGCAGCTTATCTGCTACCCTGGTTAAAAGCCTTCTGAATAAGCCGGGGGGGGGGGTGTTAATCTTAAATCCAATTCAGTTCCCTTCCTCCCCAGTCTCAAACTGAGGCACCAGCAAATCAATTCTGTTTGACCAGCTAAACCTATGGAAAGAAAGTCTTCCTTCATCACCTTCTGCCTCCTCCTGGACCATGGATGGAGCAGGAGGCAGCTATGGAATGTAACCAGGGTGAGCATCGCTTGGTGGAGAGGAGGCAGGCTGTTTGGTCAGTCGTAGCTCCGCTCACCCCCTCCACCGGGTGCAGCTGCTTAAGGGGCTGCTTACCATGGAGGGATAGTTGATCACAGAAATCTGATAGCCAATCTGGAGGTTGCCACCAATCCCCAGCACGAGGATCATTTGGTAAAACTTCCGGTGCCGAATCTGCGGTGGGAGACAAAAGACACAAGAGCCTGGAGGAAAGAAAGGCCACCCGTCACCCTTCCTCAAAGTGCCCATAGAAAATGGGTTCAAATCTCAGGGGGCCATGCTCAGAGGTGATGCAGGGGACGGGGTGGTATTTGGGACGCCCTTGCTGTGAAAAGAGAGAAGTCCAGAATCAGAGGCAGAAGCAAGAGAGGAGGGAGGCCAAGAGGTAGAGATGAGTCAGGCTGGTGAAGAAGCCAGGGTGTCTCCCCCTCCTGCTGCAACAAGCTGCCCTCCCCACCGGTCTCCCAGGACCAGAAGTTATGAAGAGGGAGGAGCTCAGATTGCTTGGGAAGGACCCAGGAGAGGAGGATACTTAGTTAGCTATGGGATGGCGGAGGTCTTCAGCATTTGCAACTGCCTCATAGGGACAGCAAGACCTACTGAGAAGAGTTGTGCTCATTATGCCTGTCTCCTCTGAGCTGGCGTGGTTTCTGCTAATAAAGAGTTAACTTCATGGACTCTGTGTGATTTATTGCTGGCTAGCTTTTCTCTCTCTCTCTCACACACACACACAGAAAAAGAGAGCTCAACTTTGATTTTGGAATGATCATTTTTGTTTGACGCTTTAACATTATGAGGCCAACGATCAGGGAGGGTGTGAGGAGGAGAGAAGTTCGGACAGATGTGGTTAGCACCATCTTATATCAGGACTTCTAGAACCTTCTAGAAATTGAAAAGGAAGCCCCGAGGAACTGCCAGCCAGAGCTCACTTGGGTCCAAACCAGGCAAACTCTGGTCCTCCAGATGTTTGGGACTACAATTCCCATCATCCCTAGCTAACAGGACCAGTGGTCAGGGATGATGGGAATTGTAGTCCCAAACATCTGGAGGGCCGGACTTTGCCTATGCCTGGTCCAAACCAAAATAATGTGGGGGGGAGGGCAGGCCTGCAGATGAGACAGCACACCTTCCTACCGGGGGGGAGGTGGATGAGGTTGAGGGCATCCTGACCCCGACTTTGACCGCAGCAATTGACCCACAGCCTCGTGATTCACGCTGAGGAGTAGGCAGGCTGGGCTGGAGAGGATGAGCTATCTGGTCCCAACTGAGTAGAGCCTGAGAAGGAACGCTCGTCTTCCGGGGGGGGGGGCCCTCGCAGACCAACCTGGGAGCTAATTCCTCCTCCCGTAACCACCCTCTTAACAAAGCCCGTGTTACTCACCAGCCCAGAGAACCGGCCCTCCATTCTGCACCAGAAAGCGGCTTTCGGAGGGGAAGGAAAGGAGGAAGGGGAGTCTGGCTGGAAGGGCAGGTGTGTCTCAGGCTCCTTCGCTGCCATGTGGGCGGCTTGGGCGGAAACCATGACACCAGAGTTAAAATTAACTGCCTGGCTGTGCCCTTCATGCCTGTTTCGATCAACCATTAATTACATACACAGCCCAAGACTAGAAAGCTCCATTGGGCAAAAGGTAAAACTCACCCAGGTGTGAAATCGAGACACGAGGACCAGTCACGTTGGCCGCCGGCGTCATCCTCCCCACCCACCCAGCCCGGTGACAACAGCCTTATCTGCTGCCCATCAGTTTTGGTCTCAGTCTGTCGCACCTGAAGTCTCTGCAGAGCATTTCCTGCTGCAAATTCCAGGCTCCATATAAGCAGAATCTTCCGAATATTTACCGTATTTTTCCATGTACAGTATAAGATGCCCCCATGTATTTTGAATAAACATACACAAATTTGTTGATTGTTAACATAACAGACAGATAATTTAAGGATCTTTACAATTTTACAATATGCAGAGAATAACGGGTTGAAAAATCAGAGAAAGGAGCTGAGGGAAGTCTTGGGGGGGGAGGGTCTTTTTTGGGGAGGGGGAAAATGGGGGGAAATAATGAAGATATGTTTTGATAATTTGTTATGTTGAAATTCTTAATATTAATTTTTTTTTAAAAAAAAATATGCCACCATGTATAAGACGTCCCCTATTTTTAGGAACCCCAATTTAAGAAAATAGGGGGGAGATTGCCCTGTGTATAAGACGACCCACTGTTTTTCCACATAATTTTAAAGTAAAAAACCCTAGTCTTATACACGGGAAAGTACGGTATTTGGAAGATCTTACTAAGACCCAGCAACTGGGTTTGCCGGCCAAAATGGGTCTCCCCTTCTTCTCCAGCCTATTGTATTCACTCACTCCCTAGGGCAGGTTGGAGATTTCTTGGGCCCACACGACAGGGACCCAATCCCTATTCCCCCACTGTAATTTCCCTGTAACAGCAGCACTATTCCCCCCCCTTTAATTTTATTTATGCTTTTCAGGCTTATACATTTCACTAATTTTACAATCATCTTAACATTTCAAAACTTGACTTCCTTCCCCCTCTTTCTGCGGTTCCTTAAATTTATTCTTAATACCTTCTGCATATCCAAATGAACTTCATTTGCTCATTTGTTCATCCACTTTAAATATATACTCTTACAAAACTGCAGGTTATTGCAATCATCCTGCCAATGTTCTTATCTGTTTACAGTTTATCTGTGAATATTCAATAAACCATTTCCACTCTCTTATTGAAAGTTTGTGGTCTTGATTTCTTATTCTTCTGGTAAAAGTTTCACCATTTCTGCATATTCCATAAGTTTTTGCATACAGCAGCATTATTAGGTGATCGAGGTGAAGCCTGGCGATGGGTTCGCTTAAGGACAATTTGACATCTTTGGCAGCTCCCCAGCTGATGCTTTAAGGGGTCATTCTGAAGTGCTTTTGAAAACAGGAACTGGAGATTTCTTCCATGTATGCGATAAGACCCCCTGCGTTGCAAGGGGTTGGACTAGATTACTGCTGGGGGTCCCTTTCCAACCCTATAATTCTACAATCAAGAAACAGAGCAAGCACAAACGTGTGGGGATCTTCCTTTATTCTCGGGTTTCGTTTTACAAGTTCACGTATCCCACAAAATACTTCGATGCTTTGTGGAACTTGTCAGTCAGAGCTTGAAGTCTTGTTCATAGAAGCCTCCCCAGGAATAATGGGACACAGTGGCCTCCCCCCCCCCAAAAAAAAATGTCTGGGAGACGAGAACAGACAGGTTGGGATTCAAAGAAAATGGGCGTCATCTGACTTCCAGCAAGGATGAGGCTGAAATGGGGTTACAGTTTACTGCAAGCTTACCAGTGAAACAGCAGAACACGTTTCCGATACTGTACAGTGGTACCTCGGTTTACAAACTTAATCCAGAAGTCCTTTCTTAAACAGAAACCGTTCTTAAACCGAGGTGCGCTTTCCCTAATGAGGCCTCCCGCCGCCGGTGCCCTTCCACCATTCAAATTCCGTTCTTAGACCGAGGTAAAGTTTGCAAAACCGGGACACTACTTCCGGTTTTGTGGAGTTCATCAACCGAATCGTTCTTAAACAGGACTGTTTTCAAACCGAGGTACCACTGTACTCGGGACCCGGGTGGCGCTGTGGGTTAAACCACAGAGCCTAGGACTTGCCAATCAGAAGGTCGGCGGTTCGAATCCCCGCGACAGGGTGAGCTCCTGTTGCTCGGTCCCTGCTCCTGCCAACCTAGCAGTTCAAAAGCACGGCAGAGTGCAAGTAGATAAATAGGTACCGCTCGGGAGGGAAGCTAAACAGCGTTTCTGTGTGCTGCTCTGATTCGCCAGAAGCGGCTTAGTCATGCTGGCCACATGACCCGGAAGCTGTACGCCTGCTCCCTTGGCCAATAAAATGAGATGAGCGCCGCAACCCCAAAGTCGGCCACGACTGGACCTAATGGTCAGGGGTCCCTTTACCTTTACCTTACCACTGTACTCATAGTTTCAGAAGGAAGGTGAAAAATTAAGGGGGCCCTGAGAAGCCTCCCCACCTTTTACCTCTGCACACCTCTAGGCTCCCCATACATGGGCATTGCCATGGGGTGGGGGGAGCAGCAGCCCCTCCTAGATCAAGTAAAACAATAGAAATACTTAACTGGCCAATCATGTCAGTTCTGCTCTCCCTAACAAAGTCCTTCCCCCCCCCCCCAAAAAAAATACCAGGCTACGCCCAGGTACCCATACCTAGCCATGGGTTTCCTTTCCTATCTACCCCAAGAATTCAGCCTTTATTTTGATGTGTTTCAAACTGGAAAAACTATCCCAAGCATGAGAACTCAGCTTCTGTTCCACCTACATTGCTAAAAATCGCCAAGTAACCAGTCCCTAATTTGTGCAGTTGACTCTGCTCATGGAAAACTCAGCAATGTTGCTTGCAGTAAACAAAAGCCCCCCCCCCCTGCCCCTCATGGTAAAGCAAGAACAGGATTAACAACTCCAGATCATAGGGATTCTTCAAATAAGGGCCAACCCTGGACTCCAGGCATGCAGTTAAAAGCCTCTTTGCAGCAATGCATGGATTTTTAAAGAATGCAAATTGTGTAGGGCTGGGGCTGGGATCAGAGCAGGCAGGGCGGGACAAATTTAACCCTTTCCCCTTCTGCTTTGATTTCTTTACTTATTCATTTCAACAAAATTTATACACCGCATGATTGTAGCAAAACCTCTAAGCCGTTTACAATAAATATTAAAACTATCATTAAAAACAGTTGAAAACACTGGAAAACATGGAAAGATAATTAAAAATAACAGAAAAATAGAGATTAAAACATGTCAACATCAATGTGTCGGAATTTTGTTCTTGTTGTTTAGTCATGTCCGACTCCTAAACAAAAGGATAGGCTTAGTTTTGAGAAGAATTCATTTTCCGAAGCTGGCATTTGCTTTCTTTTTTCTTTTCTTTTCAAGAGGGGGGACTCTCACTGGCACCAATGGGAGAAGCCCCCTTTCCCAATGCAAATGCTAGCTTCAGAAGAGTATTCAGAAGCGCAGCTGGAGAAGGAAGCCTTCTGTTCCCCCTCAACGCCTTGTTCACCTTCCGCCCGGCAGCTGATTCAACTGGCATTCGGAAACACCAGCCTGCTAAGAGTTTACTCTCCCCCTCCTGTTGGCCCTGAGGGCCCACTTCACCCAAACAGCAGCTGCCATCACAACTTGGTACAAAAACTGTGGTCGGTGGCGGCCATCTTTCCCCGAGCGGTGATAGCCATTCTCTTCCCCAAACGCATCCTTTTGAATTCTTCGGTGATCTCGCTGATGGACCTTCCCTTTGTCTCTGGCAGGTACCTGTAGATGAAGATCCCCACCACGAGGAGCACAACGAAGAAGAAGAGGAAGCAGAAGTGGCCGAGGACCTCCTGGAGAAAGGAAAACCAGGCACATGTGAGGTGCCTCAGTAGAGCCTCCTAGAAAGGAGAAAAACCTCTCCCTTTCCCTTATGGGGTAGTCCAGAGCCCATAGAGAGTCCTTAAGTGGGTTCCCTATTGGTAGGAGAAAATAGCAGAGGCCAACCAGAGTACTGTATATCTGAAGGAGCGTATATCTGAAGGAGCGTCTCCACCCCCATCGTTCTACCTGGACATTGAGTTCCAGCAGCGAGGGCCTTCTGGCGGTTCCCTCACTGCGAGAAGCCAAGTTACAGGGAACCAGGCAGAGGGCCTTCTCGGTAGTGGCGCCCTCCCTGTGGAACGCCCTCCCACCAGATGTCAAAGAGAACAACAACTACCAGACTTTTAGAAGACATCTGAAGGCAGCCCTGTTTAGGGAAGCTTTTAATGTTTGATGTATTACAGTATTTTAATATTTTTTTGGAAGCTGCCCAGAGTGGCGGGGTATAAATAAATTATTATTATTATTATCTGCTCTGTAAGACACACTTTTTCCCTCCTAAAAAGTAAGGGGAAATGTGTGTGCGTCTTATGGAGCGAATGCAGGCTGCGCGGCTGCGCAGTGCTCCCTCTTGCTGTTCTAGTTTCCGGCTTAGCCGCATGAAGCCTCCGCAGGGCACGGGGAGCCTTCATCCCGCTGCCCTGAGGAGGCTTCGCGTGGCTATCCCTGGCTTTTGCAGGGGGTGGGGGAAGGGACAGAGTACACGGCTCTGTCCCTTTCCCCACCTCCCAGAAAGCCTGCAAGAGCCGCGCTCCCTTTAAAGAGCTGCGCGGAGCGTGTGTACGGCTCTTGGGGGCTTTTCCCCAAGGAGGGAGAAGGGCAGCCCATCAGTGACAGCCTGCTGTTCTCCCTCTTTGGGGAAAAGCCTGCAAGTGCTGCACACATGCTCCACGCGGCTCATGAAAGGGAGCGCTGAGCAGAGCCTGGGATGCATACAGGCTCTGTTCAGCGCTTCCTTTAAAGAATATTTTTTTCCTTGCATTTCCCCTCTGAAAACTAGGTGCGTCTTATGGTCAGGTGCGTCTTGTGGAGCGAAAAATACGGTATATTGAGAAGCAAAGCAGCTACTAAGCCTGATCTTTATTCAAGGAACTGTTGCAACAGGGTCCCCACTCACCACACACAGGAGGGAGGAGAACCTGTACAATAACAGCAACTTCGCTTGTGTCATGAAGTAGAACAAGTAGAAGCTTAGTGGCTGACTGGGCCTGTCAGGGTTTTGTTTGTCTCAGGCATGGGGATTTGCATGAAAACCAAGGGAGACCCAAACACACACACGGGAGAGCTGGTTGGCTGGGTGCACTGGGAAAATAAGCAAGGGGGATTGGCTATTTTGTGTCCTGCTTCAGGCAGCGAAATGCCTTGGGCAGATGTCAGGCAAAGCGGGCAACTCACCACAAGAAAAGGAAACGTCATCCCGACTAGGAAGAGGCCCACCCAGCTGACTATTCCAATGATGGTCAATGCCGATGGCCTTACTGACTGGCCAAAAATCTCCATTATAACCGCGAAGATGGCACCAGCTGAAAGAGGAAATACGGAGGGTCTTTTGCAATTCAGATTTCTCTGTGGAGTTTGCCGACACAAAACTCTGACTAGATGCCACTGGCAGAAACTGTTCCGAGACCATATAACACTGGTCCTGAAAGACCTACATTGGCTCCCAGTATGTTTCCAAGCACAATTCAAAGTGTTGGTGCTGACCTTGAAAGCCCAAATGTCCTCGGCTCAGTAGACCTGAAGGAGCTTCTCCACCCCCATCATTCAGCCCAGACAGTGAGGTCCAGCGCCGAGGGCCTTCTGGCGGTTCCCTCACTGAGAGAAGTGAGGTTACAGGGAACCAGGCAGAGGGCCTTCTCGGTAGTGGCGCCCGCCCTGTGGAACGCCCTCCCATCAGATGTCAAGGAAATAAACAACTATCTGACTTTCAGAAGACATCTGAAGGCAGCCCTGTTTAGGGAAGTGTCAGGGAACTGCCATCAGTGCCGGAGGGAGAGAGCAAAATCCAGAGGGATTCCAGAGAGCGTCCCGGGATTGGGAGAGGCAGCCCATCTTCTGGGGAAGAGAATCAACGTAGCACCAGTGGAGAAGGGGGGCAGATGGGGGAAGCGGTGAGGCGGTCCCATGACTCCTTGCCGGGGACCAGCGGGGAGAGTAGAGGTCCTCCACTGCCTACGCCCTCCTTGCACAGAAGGCTTTCGCGCAGAGAGAGTAGGAGGAGACTAGGCGTCAAAGAGCTTCTTTGTTGGAAGAAGTTTAAGAAACGCCCACTGACGGATTCTGCCAGCGATTGAGACAGCCACGGGAGAGTGGCTGTCCGGACAGAGAAGGTTCACTCAGGCAACCCAGCCAGGTGTTTGCACCGGCTTACGCACGAGCAACCCCTAGAACCACTACAGGAAGTTTTTAATGTTTGATGTTTTATCACTTTATTAATTATTATTATTATTATTATTATTATTATTATTCTGTTGGGAGCCACCAAGAGTGGCTGGGGAAACCCAGCCAGATGGGCAGGGTATAAATAATAATTTATTATTGTTATTTTTCTGGCTCCACCCCACCCTCTGCAAGCCCTTTTCCAGATTTACTCACATGGGCCAAGACCATAGGAGAGGGTGAACAAGAATATGAGGGCGATGCTGCCAAAGGAAATCCAGGGGAACTGGCCCTGAGAAGCAAGAAGGAAGGAAGGAAGGGAAGTCCTGTTAAAACAATTGTGATGCGCATGGGATTCTTCCAAAGAACGTGTATTTTTTCCTCTCTCTCTCGCCCACTATGCTGCGAAGTCTTTTGCTATCCATAGGGTCCATGGGCACAGCAGATTTAGTAGCCATCACAATATAAAACCAGAGAGTTGGAAGGGACACCAAGGCTCATCTAGTCTAACCCCCCGCAATGCAGGAATCACAGGTAGCGAATCACTGGCAAATGGCCACCCCCAGAGGAGAAGGAAGAGGGACCGAGGCTGGACTCTGCTCACCTGGAAAGAGAGGGCCAGGACAAGGAGCACCATCACCAGCCCCATCATCGCGAAGCCGCCCCACAGGAGAACCCTCCGGCCAAAGCGGTCAACGAGGCAGCTCTGTGTGGTCAAAAAAAGGCAATCAGCACCATATTTTGAAAGGACACGAGACTGCAGTCATACCTTGGAAGCTGAAAGGAATAACTTCTGGAAGTCCCTTCGACTTCCAAAATGCTTGGAAACCAAAGCATGGCTTTTGATTGACTGAAGGAAGCTCCTGCAGCCAATCGGAATCTGCGCCGGATGTTCGGCTTCCGAAAATCATTCAAAAAGCGGAAAACTCACTTCCGGGTTTTGAGCCTTTGGGAGCCGATGACTGTAGTTTATAGAAAGTAGATTTGTTGGGTGTTGGAGTGGATGTGCTGAATATTTTCTTCATACGGCTGATGGACAAAGAATCAGAAGTTCTTTCTTTTCTGTCCCCCCCTTCTTTCTTTCTTTCTTTTCTTTCCCCCTTTTTCCTTTCTTTCTCTCTCTTCTTTTCTGGTCTGCATTTTTATTTAGAATAGCTTTTTAGCTTTGATTAAAAAAGAAAGACACATGGCACTAATTTTTGTATTTCTTTTTTTCCAAATTTTGATAAATTGGATTTGGAAAACAAAGAAAGGGCATGAGACAAATTCCACTGAGTGTGTGGGGACTGCTCAGGATACCCTGCCCATGGAGAGAAAGGTGTCTATGGGAAGTTTTTGCTGACTGCTTCCTGCTCCCAGGCCAGCCCAGGTAAAAAGGTAAAGAACCCCTGGGCGGTTACCATATTTTTCGCTCTATAGGACGCACCGGAACATAGGATGCACCTTGTTTTGGAGGGGGAGAACAAGAAAAAAAAAATCTTCCCCTCTCTGCTCAGCGCCCCTTCAGCGAAGTGGCAGGAGAAACGGAGCCCCTTCCATTTCTCCTCCCGCTTGGCTGAAGGGGCGCTGCGCAGCTCTCCCTCTCTGCTTGTTCTCCCAGCTTCAGCGAAAGGAACCTGAAGCCTCCGGAGCGCAGTGGGAACTCGCGCTGCGCTCCGAAGGCTTCAGGCGGAGATCCCTGAAGCCTGGAGCGCTCCCTCTGTGCTTCGGAGGCTTCGCGTTGCTATCGCTGAAGCCAAGGAGCCTGTATTCGCTCCATACACATTTCCCCTTAATTTTTGGAGGGGGAAAAGTGCGTCCTATAGAGCGAAAAATATGTTAAGTCCAGTGAAAGGCGACTATGGGGTTCCATCTCACTTTTAGGCCGAGGGAGCTGGCATTTGTCCACAGACAGCATGACAAAACTGCTTCTGGCGCAACGGGACACCATGACGGAAACCAGAGCGCACGGAAACACCATTTACCTTCCCGCTGCAGCGGTACCTATTTATTTACTTGCACTGGTATGTTTTCGAACTGCTAGGTTGGCAGGAGCTGGGACAGAGAAACAGCAGCTCACCCCGTCGCGGGGATTCAAACCGCCGACCTTCTAATCAGCAAGCCCAAGGGGCTCAGTGGTTTAGACCACAGCACTACCTGCATCCAGCCCAGGACCAGCTGACCACACACAAGGACCAGCTACTGAACCCGCCCTTCTTGCTCCCTCCAGCTCCTTCCCATTACAAAGGAGCCGGCTCTTCTGTTCCCACTCGCAAACCAGGCTGGACTTACGCATAGGATCGTACCAACAAATTCGCAGCTGCCAACGCCAACTGCTACGTAAGGGATGAGGCTTTCCTCAATTTTGGCTGTGCGGAAAACTTCGAAGGCGTAGAAGTAGATCTGGGAAACAAAAACGAAACAAGGAATGTCCGAGGGACTGGTGCAAAAGGTTTTCAGAATGAGGGAAAGTGGTGCAGGTTCAATCTCTTGGACGAAAGGGCCCCAACATTCCTGTCAAAAGCAGGCACTTTAAGGTCTCCCAACCTCAGGCGCTCTGAAACTGCTGCTAGTGGCTTCCACATTATGCTGGATGTGATCTCGTTTTTGTTACGGTGCTGTTTTTACAAGCTATTTTATGCCACTTTGTCTTTCAAAAGAGAAGAAACCAAGGCGCCCACCAAAATTTCTTGGGAATAGACAGAAGCATGAGGGTCATGGCCATTGGCACCAGGGAGTTAGGGAAGCTCCACTGTGGCTCTCTTTCATCCTCCCTTCCACCCAAACCACCAGATTTTCTGCTGCCTGAGAAAAGATGGAAGAATATCTGGGGGGAAAGTGTGGGAGTGGTGCATCCAAAATGCTATGGAAAGAGCTAATGCAGCACAGAGCGTTGAGTTTTACTGATAGAGCAGCAGGAGTTGTTTTACGCTGCTATGCGCCTCAGAATAATTCTCTAAAGTGTCATTAGTCTGTCTGGACTCAGCTGCACGCTGCAGATAAAACGTTTCAAATGTGTTGTAAAATGGAATGTACAAGATGGTGACAGTGAGCTAGGCCAAATTCAATGTATTTTTCAAAATGTTTTTTTAAAAAGCATTTTCACAGCATTTTAAAATATGTGTGTAGATTCCACCTCAGTCTCATATATATGTATAACACATGCACACACAGAGGCTATATATAAAGGTAAAGGTAAAGGGACCCCTGACCAGTAGGTCCAGTCGTGGCCGACTCTGGGGTTGCGGTGCTCATCTCGTTTTATTGGCCGAGGGAGCCGGCGTACAGCTTCCAGGTCATGTGGCCAGCATGACTAAGCCGCTTCTGGCGAACCAGAGCAGCGCACGGAAATGCCGTTTACCTTCCCGCCAGAGCGGTACCTATTTATCTCCTTGCACTTTTTGGAGTGCTTTTGAACTGCTAGGTTGGCAGGAGCAGGGACTGAGCAACGGGAGCTCACCCTGTCGCGGGGATTCAAACCGCCGACCTATGTAAATATGTTTTCGTATACCAAGTAAAGTGATGTGTTATGTTTAAACTCTAAGCAGAGAATCTTGCACAGTCTTTTAAAAAGGGGCTCGAATGTCCTGGGGGCAACTAAATATAAATAAAACCAAATATAAATATAAATAAAATATAAATATAAATAAATATATAAGTAGTAGTAGTAATAATAATAATAATAATAATAATAATAATAATAATAAATTTTAGTTATATCCCGCCCTCCCCAGCTGAAGCCGGGCTCAGGGCGGCTAACAACAATAAAACAGTACAAAAGTACAGCATAAACAACACTCTAAAATCATTCATTATAAAATTAATTAATTCAAGCCACTGGCAGCCATTGGGCCAGAGCTCCGCGAAGATTGCCGAGGGAGGGAGTCAGGCTGTGCCCTGGCCAAAGGCCTGGTGGAACAGCTCTGTCTTGCAGGCCCTGCGGAAAGCTGTCAAGTCCCGCAGGGCCCTAATCTCTTGTGGCAGAGCGTTCCACCAGATCGGAGCCACAGCCGAAAAAGCCCTGGCTCTGGTTGAGGCCAGCCTAACCTCTCTGTGGCCTGGGACCTTCAAGATGTTTTTATTTGAAGACCATAAGGTCCTCCGTGGGACATACCAGGAGAGGCGGTCCCGTAGGTACGAGGGTCTTAGGCCGTATAGGGCTTTAAAGGTTAAAACCAGCACCTTAAACCTGATCCTGTACTCCACCGGGAGCCAGTGCAGCTGGTATAGCACCGGGTGAATGTGAATATATATAAATAAAATAAATATATATAAATACAACCAAAAGATGGGAAGATCGGTGGCTGGGTTATGATTATTTAAATGTTTTCTTAAAACAGCACCTTGCATGTGCCCTTTAGGACATGGGTGGAGAAAGTGTGTAAGTCCCCCAATCAATGTGTGGAAAGCCCCTAAGAGAGGTGGGGGGAGAAGAAGAAGAAGAAGAAGAAGAAGAAGAAGAAGAAGAGGAGGAGGAGGAGGAGGAGGAGGAGGGGGAGGAAAGAGTTTCCATTGCTTAGAGTTCCTGATGCAATTAAAGTGATTCTACTCAACGGCACTCAAGCCAGAGAGGTTCAGGGTGAAGATCAGCAGGACGCTGAGGCCCAGCGGCCAGCGCACGGACTTCTCGCTCATCACTTCCAGGACGCTCAGGTTCTTGGAGCTTCTCATGTCCTCCTTCTGCTTCACCATGTCCTCCAACTCAGCTTGGTGATGCCCTTCACCCCAAAGGAACTTCATGGCTTTGTGGGGGAGAGAGAGGGAGAGAAAGAGACAGTCCTTCAAAAACTGAGCTACTCAATTATCTGAACATGGGCTGAACGAAAAGATCAAAGTTTCAGTCATCATCAGAGAATGCAGCCAGGGGCATCCAAATTACTATCACCCATTCAGAAGCTCGAAGGAGCTGTGGTGGACTTGTAAAAGGGTAAAAGCGTATTGGGAAATGATTCATAATGAATTGAAAAAATTGTTTAAAAGTACTTTCCCTCCCAAACCCAGAGTCCTTCCTGTTGGGGATAGTGCAGACTGAAATTCCCAGGTGTCAAAAAATGTTACTTATGTATGCTACCACTGCGGCTTGTGTTTGGTTAGTCCCAAAATGGAAAACAAGTGAGGTCCCAACCAAAGAAGAATGGCAACTTAAGCTGACAGAATATGCACAACTTGTAGACTTAACATATAGAATAAGAGAACAAGAAGAACATGCGTGTAAAGAAGACTGGAAGGTGTTTATTGAATACAGTGGTACCTCGGGTTAAGTACAGTGGTACCTCAGGTTAAGTACTTAATTCGTTCCGGAGGTCCTGAAGCACCACTTTAGCTAATGGGGCCTCCCGCTGCTGGTGCGCCGCCGGAGCATGATTTCTGTTCTCATCCTGAAGCAAAGTTCTTAACCTGAAGCACTATTTCTGGGTTAGTGGAGTCTGTAACCTGAAGTGTATGTAACCTGAAGCGTATGTAACCTGAGGTACCACTGTACTTAATTCGTTCCGGAGGGCTGTACTTAACCTGAAACTGTTCTTAACCTGAAGCACCACTTTAGCTAATGGGGCTCCTGCTGCCACCGCACCGCCGAAGCACAATTTCTGTTCTCATCCTGAAGCAAAGTTCTTAACCTGAGGTACTATTTCTAGGTTAGTGGAGTCTGTAACCTGAAGCGTATGTAACCTGAAGTGTATTTAACCCGAGGTACCACTGTATAGGGGAAATAACTATGTACAGCTGAAAACGCTGGCAGCACTAAGAAAAATTCAACATCAAAATAAGTTTTGATAGATGCAGTAATGGAAAACTAAATGGTATAGTTTTTGTAAAACATGCAGGACTATAAGATATGAAAAATGAACCATGGAAATAGAAGGGAAGTCATTAATATCATTAATATCATGAGTATTTTAAATTGCAAAATAAAATTTAATAAAAATTACATTTAAAAAAAGAAGAAGAAGCTCAAAGGAGCTTATACCTGAAGGTGTGTCTCCACCCTCATCGTTCAGCCCGGACACTGAGGTCCAGCTCTGATGGCCTTCTGGCGGTTCCCCCACTGCGAGAAGCGAGGTTACAGGGAGCCAGGCAGAGGGCATTCACAGTAGTGGTGCGCACCTTGTAGAACGCCCTCCCTTCAGATGTCAAGGAGATAGACAACTACATAATTTTTAGAAGACATCTGACGGTGGTCCTGTATTGGGACATTTTTAATGTTTGATGCTGTTATGTACTGAGTTGAATAGGATCCAAAATGCAGCAGTCTGATTGGTCCCAGAACAATAGAATCCAAAATGCAGCAGTCTGATTGGTCCTAGAACAATAGGATTCAGAATGCAGCAGCCTGATTGGTCCTAGAACAATGCAGCAGTATGACTGGTCTGCAGGAGTCACCCAATCCGGCTCCAGATGGAAGTGAATCCACAACCTGATTGGCCTACAGGAGAATTCCAGAATTAGCCAATCATGTGCAGCCCATTGTGTAAATAATGTATATAAAGCAGATACTTTGAGGGGACTTTCATTCCTCCTCACCACCATGAGCTGAATAAAGAGCATGAAATCCACTCTCGACTGAGTATATTTCATTTTTTTTTTTTTATAAAATTTTTATTGGTTTTAGAAACTTTTTAAACAAAAAACAAACAAACACCAAAAATGACATACATACACGTATAGTTTCAAACATATTTTCATAAACTTCTTTCCTTTGACTTCCCCATACCCCCCCTCTCTGCATCCCAGTGTCCAAAGTTCAACTAGCAACTCCCAATTGTTATTTTCAATTTCTATCTTCTTAGTTCTTATTTTTTTTTTAGATTTCTAACCTTATATCCCTGTATCCCTTTATTTCTGAAAACCGCAACATTTTAGCATTCATTAAGTTTATAGTAGTCCTTAAGATAACTTTTAAATTTCCTCCATTCTTCTTCCACCGTCTCTTTTCGTTGGTCACGGATTCTGCCTGTCATCTCAGCCAATGTCATATAGTCCATCACTTTCATCTGCCATTCTTCCAAAGTGGGTAGGTCTTGGGTCTTCCAATACTTTGCGATGAGTATTCTTGCTGCTGTTGTAGCATACATAAAGAAAGTTCTATCCTTCTTTGTCACCAATTGGCCGACAATGCCCAAGAGAAAGGCCTCTGGTTTTTTCACGAAGGTACATTTGAGTACCTTTTTGATTTCATTATAGATCATTTCCCAGAAGGCCTTAATCTTCGGGCATGTCCACCAAAGATGGTAGAAGGTACCTTCAGTCTCTTTACACTTCCAACATTTGTTATCGGGCAAATGATAGATTTTTGCCAGCTTGACTGGGGTCATGTACCACCTGTAAATCATTTTCATTATGTTTTCTCTTAAGGCATTACATGCCGTAAACTTAACACCGGTGGTCCATAACTGTTCCCAGTCGGCAAACATAATGTCATGACCAATATCTTGAGCCCATTTAATCATGGCTGATTTCACCGTTTCATCCTGTGTATTCCATTTCAGCAACAAATTATACATTCTTGACAAATTCTTAGTGTTGGGTTCTAACAGTTCAATTTCTAGTTTGGATTTATCCACTTGAAAGCCAATTTTCCTATCCTGTTTGAAAAGCTCCATTACTTGGTAGTATTGAAGCCAATTTTGTACTTTATCCTTCAATTTGTCATAGCTTTGTAATTTCCACTTGTCTCCATCCTGTTCCAAAATTTCCCAATACTTCGGCCATCCGACCTCCATATTGAGTTTCTTTACTGCTTTAGCCTCGACTGGCGACACCCACCTAGGGGTTTTGTTTTCCAACAGATCTTTATATCTCGTCCATACATTAAACAATGCTTTTCTAACAATATGATTTTTAAAGGCACTATGCTGCTTAATTTTGTCATACCATAAATATGCATGCCAACCAAAGACATTATTGAAACCTTCCAGATCCAAGATATCTGTGTTCTCGAGGAGCATCCATTCCTTCAGCCAGCAAAAAGCTGCTGCCTCATAATACAATTTTAAGTCCGGCAGGGCAAACCCCCCTCTTTCTTTTGCGTCTGTCAATATTTTGAATTTAATTCTGGGCTTTTTGCCCTGCCAGACAAATCTCGAAATATCTTTCTGCCACCTCTTAAAACATTCCATCTTGTCGAGAATCTGCAAGGTCTGAAACAAAAATAACATTCTAGGCAATACATTCATTTTGATCACTGCAATTCGGCCTAACATTGACAATTTCAAATTTGACCATATTTCTAGATCTCTTTTAATTTCTAACCAGCATTTTTCATAGTTGTCCTTGTACAAATTCAAATTTTTAGATGTTAAGTATACCCCTAGGTATTTCACCTTCTTAACCACTGTCAAACCTGTCTCCTCTTGAAATTTCTCCTTTTCCATATCTGTTAAATTTTTCCCTAAAACTTTTGTTTTTTGCTTATTCAACTTAAATCCAGCTACCTGGCCAAACTGTTGTATTATTTCTAAAGCCTTTTTCGTGCTAGTGTTTGGCTCTTGCAAAGTCAATACTAAGTCATCTGCAAACGCTCTCAACTTATAATGTTTAGCTCCGACCTGCACCCCTTTAATCTGCTGGTCATTTCTTATCATGTTCAGCAACACCTCCAGAACTGATATAAAAAGTAATGGGGAAATCGGGCACCCCTGTCGTGTTCCTTTTTCTATCTTAAGTTCCTCAGTCACAACATTATTTACAATCAGTTTAGCTTTTTGTTCTGAGTATATTGCAGCCATACCATTCTCAAAACCCTGGCCTACCCCCATCCCATGAAGATTCTTCCTCATAAAACTCCAAGAAATATTATCAAAGGCTTTCTCCGCATCCACAAAGATCAGAACTGCTTTAGTGTTTATATTCACCTCTAACTTTTCCAGAATGTCTATTACATTCCTTACATTATCTGCCAGGTGTCTTTTAGGGAGAAAGCCTGCTTGGTCCCTATGAATCTTCTCCATCAACACTCTTTTAAGTCTTTTTGCTAAAATGTCTGCAAAAATTTTGTAATCCACATTAAGTAATGATATTGGGCGGTAGTTCTTAAGTTGGGTCTTTTCAGTCTCTGATTTTGGTATGAGTGAAATATATGCTTCTTTCCACGATTCAGGTGCCTTTTTTCCCTCAAGGATCTCATTACAAACTTCTCTTAATGGTTGAATCAGCCATTCCTTCAATGATTTGTAGTATCCAGAAGTCAATCCATCTGGTCCTGGAGATTTGCCCAATTGCATATTCTGAATGGCAGCCTCTATCTCTTGTTCTGAAATTCTCTGGTTCAGATCCATCTTACTTTGATGAGAGATGCTTTGTAATCCATATTTTTCAAGGAATTTATCTATATCTTCTTCATTTTGAGGGCCTTGGGTATAAAGTTTTTTGAAATAACTTAAAAAGCAGTTTCTAATTTCATTGGGTTTAGATATATTTTTCCCATCCACCTCTAGGCTTGTAACTGTATTTAATTTCTGCCTTTTCTTCAGTTGCCATGCCAAGAGTTTGCCACATTTATTTGCTGATTCAAAAGTCTTTTGCTTCATTTGCTTTATCTTCCATTCAATCTCTTGGTTCATCAATTCCATATATTGTGTTTGATATAGCTTGATCTCTCTTAAAATTTCCTGAGACTTTGGTTTTGTTCTTAATTTTCTCTCTCCTTCCTTTATCATTTCCAAAATCTTTTCTTTTTTCTCATTCTGTTTTTTCCTCTTTATTGAGTTTTGTTGTATCAAAAATCCTCTCATTACTGCCTTGCTTGCGTCCCAGATCACTCTTTTCTCCACGTCGGTCCTCAGATTTATTTCAAAGTAGTCTTTTAAAGTCTTTTGGGCCTTCGTGAGAATCTCCTTATCTCGAAAGAGGCTGTCATTCATTCTCCATCTAAATTGACCAGTTGTTGTAATTTTCATCTCCATCTTCAGGGCGTTATGGTCGGAGCAAGTTTTTGGACAGATTTCCACTTTCTTAATCTTTGGAGCCATTCCACTAGTAATCCAAATTTGATCGATTCTTGTCCAGGTCATCGTTGCTTGGGAGAAAAAAGTTCCCTCTCTCTCCAGAGGGTTCCTTGTTCTCCATATATCTATCAAGTCCATATTTTCTGTCATTTCAAAAAAAGTCTTAGGGAGTCTCCCTTCCTTACTTACTGTTAATCTTTGTGCCTTGTCCATGTTAGTGGAGACCACGCCATTCATGTCTCCCATAATTATCATATTGTAATCCAAATGGTCAGTCAGGGTTTCATGAAGTCTCTTAAAGAAGTCAGATTTGCCTTCATTCGGTGCATAGATTCCAACCACTAAAAATTTTTCTCCTTGAACTTGTATTTCCACTGCCAGATATCTCCCTTGTTCGTCCTTGAATATCATTTTTGGGGCCCATTTCTCTTTCACATATATTACAACTCCTCTCTTCTTGACTTTATCTGATGAAATAAATTCTTGTCCTAGCCTTTTATTAATGAGTAATCTCCTGTGGGCTCTGGTTATGTGAGTTTCTTGTAGGCATATCAAATCCAGTTGTTCTTTGTTCAATATATGAAATACTTGTCTTCTCTTCAAAGGCCCATTGAGCCCATTGCAGTTCCAGCTAAGGAATTGCAAAGCCATCTTGTTATTTTTCTACACTCCTCCAACAGCTCCAAGCTGTTGCTCTTCTTCTGATGGCGGTGGTTTTTGTCCGAACGAAAGGTTCAAAATCTCCAATGCTCTCCTCTGTTCTGCAATTGCATCCACAGTCCCCTTCTGTAGGTCCTCCTGGTTTCTTGCCAGAAATTTATCCTTGTCTTGAATTGTCTTTATCTTCACCTTCTTTTGCTTGTAATCAAATGACAGTCCTTGTGGGAACTCCCACCTGAAGCGGATGGAGTTTTTCTTCAGCAGAAGAACCAGATCCTTGTAGAAATTTCTTAAATCCAAAATATATTTTGGAATGTCTTTAAAGATCTGTACAGCTGAGTTTCCGATTCGCAAGGCCTTCTCAAAGTGCAGTCCTAATATTTTATCTCTTTCCTCCTTGGATCTAAATGTGATCAAACAGTCTCTTGGAATCTTTCTGTCTTGCTTTTTACCTAATCTGAAAGCTGTCGTGATTTTAAATTCGTCTTCCTCCAGGCCCCAACAATCCACAAACTCCTGAGTCAGATATTCCACAAGGTTATCTCTTTCGTTCTCCGGAATCAGTCTTAGTTTCAAGTTTCTCTCTTTTCTCTGTAGGTCCCACAAGGCCAAGGTTGCATCGTGCTCATAAACCTTCTTAGCAATCGGCTCTAATTTCTCCTGGGTCTCTCCAGCAGTCGCTTTAGCCTCTTCAGCAATTTTACGTGTGGTGGCGTTTTCCTCCACCAATTTATTTATAGATTCTGTATTCTGGTTTAATCTTACCGATATTTCTGTTAGTTTCTGTGTGTTCTCTGAAGTCTGTTTTGTCAAAGTATCGACTGAGTATATTTCAGATGCTTTTTAAATATTTTGCTGGAAGCCACCCAGAGTGGCTGCGGCAACCCAGTCTGAAGAGTGGCATATAAATAATAAAATTATTAAGCCGCCCCTGAAAATAGGGGAATGTTAGTGACAGAACAAGAGGAACAGCATTGCTTTGGCATCCCACCCTACCTAAAGAGGCCAGTTGGAGTTGGATAGAACTAAAGAAAGCAGATATGGGGTTTTTAATCTGGACAGCCCGCCCTGCTCACATGTGATCAAACATCTAGACTTGCTCTGGTCTCTCAAACAGGTCTGGGGGTGGTTATGAGACCTGGCTGTGCATGGGCAGAAGTCATCTGGGGTGGGGCAGGTCTTGCTGTTGGGATTTCAGATCTCACCAGCTGTGAAGAGCAGCTACTGTGTTGATATCATGTGATGTCTCTGAGCGTGAGACAGAAAGTCTCTGCCAGTTCTCATGTAACCAGAGAGTTACTTTCGCTTCTGAGTCGAAGTGGGAGTCGAGTCGTTGACTCTTATGTTAGCTGCTCAGGAGAGCAGACATGCTTGTAAGAGCTGCGTGTACAGTCTGTAAATAAAGCAGTGAGTAGACTACTGACTGTCTCTTTCTTCTGTGATGGGATGCCAGAAGATGAGTGTGCTCCTCTCAGGAGGGAGGGGTCGTTTATTACCGGTCTCTCTGGACTGAGGGCAGATTCCAGCCAGAGAGTGACCACTGGAAAGAAGCGTCTTGGGAAGTTGGCACCCTTCCCGGGGGCGTTTTCCCAACACTTACACCCCTCTGCAGCAGAGAGTCACTTACAGCAGCTCTGCGGTGGAGAACACTGCTAAAATTGCACATCAGAGGTGGGGCTGAGGCTTGTTTGGATTCCTAGTTTTAAAACCCTAGAATTTCTAAGATTGCAGTAAAAGTCAAACTGCTCCCTTGCCCCTAATTTCTGCTGAGGCTGAATCAGCCTCCGACTTTTGCATGCAGAAGCCTCGGGTGCCGCTGACTTGTGTGCGGACGGAACTTTTGGATGAAAAATAGGCAGACAACTAGAATTTTTGTGCAAGTTATGGCAGGGGCTTCTGTTTTCCTTGCTGACTTTTTATTTGGGCACCTCTCCTGTGCTCAGGCAATGAAGGCTAGACGGCCACTTCCACCCCGCCCAACTTGCTCATTACCTTTCAAGCAACCATCTTTGTCTCCCTTCTGGAGCAACAGGTATGGAGGGGACTCAGGGAAGAAGGGCAGGAGCAGCAGCTGGAACAGGGCTGGGATCCCACACAGAGCCAGGAGCAGAGGCCACAGCGACTCTGTGCCAAAGAGATCTCTGGGGACAACAGGCATAGAGAAAGCAGCCATTTAGACTTCATCCAAGGTAGGAGGGCAGGTGTTTAGGGGACCTGGGGACCCCTGATTTCCTTCTTTTTTAAAAAACAACAACAAATCAATATTGTTGTTGTTAATTAAATTTGTATACCAGCCTATACTCACAGGTCTCAGAGCAGTTACAACATAAAATACGTAATAAAAACAAAAACAACCCAATAAACCTCCTACCCGGCACATTTTAAAAGCACATGTATAGACCTCACAGTTGCAGAGATCAGTTCAATTTGTTATATTTCTATACTGCTTTTCATTCAAATGAATCGCTAAGCGGCTTAAAGGTAAAGGTAAAGGTACCCCTGACCATTAGGTCCAGTCGCGGATGACTCTGGGGTTGCGCGCTCATCTCGCTCTATAGGCCAAAGGAGCCGGAGTTTGTCTGCAGACAGCTTCTGGGTCATGTGGCCAGCACGACTAAGCCGCTTCTGGCGAACCAGAGCAGTGCATGGAAACACTGTTTACCTTCCCGTCAGAGTGGTACCTATTTATCTACTTGCACTTTGACATGCTTTCGAACTGCTAGGTTGGCAGGAGCACGGACCAAGCAACGGAAGCTCACCCATTTGAACCACCAACCTTCTGATCGGCAGGCCCTAGGTTCAGTGGTTTAGACCACAGCACTACCACGTCCTTACAAACAATAAATAACAATGGCATAATAGAACACCACAAATGCAGCACAAATCCAGTAGAACAATTAAGAAATCACCAGTTAGAAAAATCAGAGGCCCTACCCCTGCCTGACCAACCCCCAGCACATTGCTCAGCTGTTTGTCACAGAAACAGGTCTTTCCAATGTATCTCTCTTTAAAAGAGGGGTAGGGAACCTCCAGCCCATGAGTCAATCTTGGCCCACTGGGGGTGGGGTCTAATTTGGCCCATGAGGTCATTATCCCCCAAAGCACACCCACCAGCTGACATCATTAAGTGATGTCAGCTGAAGCGCAGAGTTGAACGCGGCTGGGTGCTGTTTTGCCAGTGCATTCCCTGCAGGGTATGGAGTGAGTTTCTGAAAAGCCTATGGAATTGTATGCAGTTGTCCCTTGCCCCCCTTAAGCTTCCTGGCATTACGCCACCACCTCGCTCCCATCAGGAGAAACCCCAAAGTGTCTTTGGCCCAGCAGACGGGAGGGAGCCAGCAGGCAAATCTCTCCTCCCTGGTCCAGAGTTAGAGAGGAAAGGGAGGGCATGACACAAACAAGAATGAAAGGTGCGGAGCTCACCTACGTCGCCAAGGCTGTTGGGGATGACGCAATCATTACAGTGGTCAGCACAAAATAGACTCATAAACCATTAAAAGTGACAAGATCAGTCCAAGTGGAAATAAGGAGAGAATGCAATTGGTCAGCAAATTGAGGAAAACATTCTGACAGATGAAGAACAACACTTGATTGTCTCAACCGCAAAACGGATCCAAGTGGGAAGAAAGAAGAAAAGGAGGGAAGGATAAACAAACATGGTTGTCTGCCATGCCATCAGTTTAATTTACCTTAAGCCCATAATTTGTCCAAAAGCTTTTCCTAGTGAAAAAAACACAGAGCAGGTGGCAATGGCAAAACCTCTGAATTTCTTGGGTGCAATTTCTCCAGCATACGGTCCATTGGTGTTCAGGGAAATACCTTCAGTGAGAAGAAAAAGGTACGTTACACAAAACAGCCGAGGACAAAGAAAAGTTTCTGAGTGACTACGGAGAAGACCTTCAGAAAGGGATTCCAGGATTTCCAGGGCCTGGGCCATTGCCTGTACCTTTGGGACCTGAAGACCAGAAGAAAGAGATGCCACCACCAAAGGAATAACAGATTTGTCCAGGATGTCTCTGCAGCTCTTTAGCTGGAATATTAATGGCTGTAATTCCCCGGAAAAAAGGAGAAGGATATTTCATTTATTAAAGAAAGAACAATTGGATATTATTTGCTTGCAGGAAACACATGTGACTAGGCTCCACAGAAAAGTGCTAATAAATAAGAGACTAGGCCAAGAATTTATTTCATCGGACCGAGTTAAGAAAAGAGGAGTGGTGATATATGCAAAGGAGAGCCTATCACCAAAATTCCTATTTAAAGATGAGCAAGGAAGAATTTTGGCAATTGAGATACAAACTCAAGGCGAAAATTTTTTGATATTGGGAATTTATGCACCGAACGAGGGGAAATCGGAATTTTATAAGAAACTGCATGAGACAATGCTGGACTATCTGGACTATAGCAACATCATTATGATGGGGGATATGAGTGGGGTGGTATCTACAAACATGGATAAGTCACAAAGCCAAAGTGTGACAAAAGATGGCAGACTACCTAAAACCTTTTTTGAACTAACCGACAATATGGACTTGATTGACATTTGGAGAACAAAGAACCCCCTAGGAAGAGAAGGAACATTCTTTTCTGAAGCCCAACTGACATGGAGAAGAATCGACCAAATATGGACAACTAGAGGACTGGCCCCTAAGATTAGAAAGGTGGAAATCTGCCCAAAAACCTGCTCCGACCATAACGCAATAAAGATGGATATGAGACTAACTCCAACCGGCTCCTTTAGATGGAAGATGAACGACACCTTGCTAAGAGATCAGGAGACTATTCAGAAGGCCCAAAAGACTTTGAAGGACTATTTCGAAATAAACCTGAATACTACAGTGGAAAAAAGAGTAATCTGGGATGCAAGCAAAGCTGTTATGAGGGGGTTTCTGATACAACAGAATACGATAAAGAAAAGAGCAAGGAATGAGAAAAAGGACAAGATTTTGGAGAAAATAAAGGAATGTGAGAAAAAGCTAAGATCGAAACCAAAGTCACAGGAGATTCTGAGAGAAATTAAACTTTTTCAAGCACAATATTCTAAACTGATAAACCAGGAAGTTGAGTGGAAAATTAAGTTAATGAAACAAAGGTCATTTGAATCGGCTAATAAATGTGGGAAACTGCTAGCATGGCAGTTGAAAAAGAGACAAAAACTGAATACGGTAACCAACCTAGAGATTGAAGGGAGAAACATCCAGAACCCTGTGGAAATTAGAAAGTGCTTCCAGAGATACTTCAAACAACTTTATACGCAAGGGCCGCAAAAAGAGACTGAGATAGACCAATTTTTAAGAAGAAATGGATTGCCAAAACTGTCTCAAGAGAATAGGACAATTTTGAATTATAAAATAACACAACAAGAAATTGAAGGTGCCATTCAGAATATGCAACTGGGCAAGTCTCCAGGGCCAGATGGGCTCACCTCCAAGTATTATAAGACATTGAAAGATTATCTGACACAACCATTAATGGAGGTTTGCAATGAGATTATGGAGGGGAAGAAGGCACCGGAATCGTGGAAAGAAGCGTTCATCACTTTGATACCCAAATCGGAAACTGAAAAGACACAACTTAAGAACTACCGTCCCATCTCTCTCTTAAATGTGGATTACAAAATTTTTGCAGATATCTTGGCAAGTAGATTTAAAAGAGTTTGAAATGAAGTGATTCATAAAGATCAGGCAGGTTTTTTCCCAGGAAGACATTTGTGTGACAATACTAGGAATATCATTGACATCTTGGAACTTTTGCAAACGAACATTAATACAAAAGCGGTGTTGATTTTTATAGATGCGGAGAAGGCCTTTGATAATATCTCATGGAAGTTTATGAAGAAAAACCTCGAAGGGATGGGAGTGGGACGGGGGTTTGAGAATGGTATAGAGGCAATTTATTCAGAACAAAAAGCTAAATTGATAGTTAACAATGTGGTGACAGAAGAATTTAAGATTGAGAAAGGAACACGACAAGGTTGCCCTATCTCCCCTTTGTTATTTATTTCGGTCCTGGAGGTGCTCTTAAATATGATTAGAGGGGACCGGTTGGTTGAAGGAATTCAGGTCGGAGCCAAACAGTACAAACTCAAGGCTTTTGCAGATGACTTGGTTTTGACACTACAGGAGCCAGAATCTAGTACGAAAAGGGTTTTAGAATTGATTCATGAATTTGGTCGGGTGGCGGGATTTAAGTTAAACAAGCAAAAAACTAAGATTTTGGAAAAAAACATGACAACTTTGGAATCAGAAAGGTTTCAGAAAGAGACAGACTTAAATGTGGTTAAAAAGGTGAAATACCTAGGGGTTAATATGACTGTCAAAAATTTGAACCTATTCAAGGACAATTATGAAAAGTGCTGGTCAGAAATTAAAAAGGATTTAGAAAGTTGGTCAAGATTGAAACTTTCCTTGTTGGGCCGAATTGCTGCTATAAAGATGAATGTACTGCCAAAAATGCTGTTTTTGTTTCAGACCCTACAGATTGTGGACAAGGTGGAGTGTTTCAAGAGGTGGCAGAGAGACATTTCTAAATTTGTCTGGCAGGGCAAAAAGCCCAGAATAAAATTTAAAATATTAACTGATGCTAAGGAAAGAGGGGGGTTTGCCCTGCCAGACTTAAGGCTGTACTATGAATCAGCAGCGTTTTGCTGGTTGAAAGATTGGCTGCTCCTTGAGAACACTGACGTTTTGGATTTGGAAGGGTTTAACAATGCCTTTGGATGGCACGCATATTTGTGGTACGACAAGGTAAAAATCCATAAGACTTTCAAGAACCATATTGTCAGGAAAGCAATATTTAATGTCTGGATAAAATACAAAGACTTATTAGAAAACAAAACCCCAAGGTGGTTGTCACCAATGGAAGCTAAGGCTCGGAAAAGACTCAATATGGAGGCCAAATGGCTGAGATATTGGGAAATATTAGAAAAAGTTGGAGATACTTGGAGATTGCAGAGTTTTGAGAAATTAAAGGATAAAGTGCGAGATTGGTTACACTATGCTCAGATTAGGGAGGTTTTTAATTTGGATAAAAAAACAGGTTTCCAGGTGGAAAAATCGAAACTAGAAACAGAGCTGTTAGAACCTAAGACTAAGGTACTTTCAAAAATGTACAACTTGCTGTTAAAATGGAACACTCAAGATGAAACGGTTAAATCAGCCATGATAAAATGGGCACAGGACATTGGGTACAATATTATGTTTGCTGACTGGGAACAGTTATGGACCACAGGTATGAAGTTTACGGCATGTAATGCCTTAAGAGAGAATATTATGAAAATGATATACAGGTGGTACATGACCCCAGTCAAGCTTGCAAAAGTATACCATTTGCCTGACAGTAAATGCTGGAAATGTAGGGAAACTGAAGGAACATTCTTTCACCTCTGGTGGACTTGCCCAAGGGTTAAGGCTTTCTGGGAAATGATCTATAATGAGCTGAAGAAGGTATTTAAGTATACCTTTCCTAAGAAACCAGAGGCCTTCCTTCTGGGCATTGTTGGCCAGAGGGTGCTAAAGAAGGACAGAACTTTCTTTATGTATGCAACAACAGCAGCAAGAATACTCATCGCAAAACATTGGAAGACCCAAGATTTGCCCACGCTGGAAGAATGGCAGACGCAACTGATAGACTACATGGAATTGGCAGAAATGACTGGAAAAAGTTCAAGGACTATCTACAAAAACATTATAAACTGTATGAATGTTAAGAAGATGCAGGATAGAAAATAATATGGCACCAGCAATTTAATTGAAAGAATACGAGAATAAGTGATGTTTAAGAAAAAGATGAAATTTGGAGTAACATTATGTTTAAATCAAGTATCTAAGTACTTGAAAAAAATATTTAAAGTTGGAGATATAATATTTGAAATTTATAAAATAAGATTTGGAACAAGGTGATAAATTGCTGCTTATAATTTTATAATTGGGAACGCAGGAAAGGGAGATGTGAGGAAGTCCAAAAGGTTAAGAAAATAAGATTTACAGACAGCTGATTTCATTCTATATTTTCTATTCTTTGTTTATCTCTTTGCTTTTTTCTTTTTATCTTTCTTTTTAACTGTGTTTGTTGTATCTTGGTGATGGTATTTTATATGTTTGGTGATTTTATTGTTTAAAACCTTTAATAAATATCTTATAAAAAAAGAAAAGAAAAAGGTACGTTACAGAAAGATTTAGTGATGTCTCTGAGATCGTACCACAATGTTCCACCACCCAGAAAACCCACCACTTGGAGCTGCCTGTGTCAGCCTGGGCCACATGATGGGGGGGGGGAGGAGAGCAAGCTGGAAGGAGAGCCCCTTCTGAGATGGGCCACCTGCAAGCTGGTAACAACATACCCCCAGATCTCCAGATGACCTGTCAAAGTGGCTAAACATTAGGGATCATGGTGGGCAGTGCTGGATTACCAAATAGACAGAGTAGGAAGTAGTCTATGGGCCCCATGCCTTTTAGGGGCCCGATGACAACGAATCAAAATAATATTGATTTGATCTTGAAAGAAAATTACAAAAAAACGTATTCGGAGATAATTTGCGAGATTTCAACTGCCTATCAAAAAAACTAAGATCACAGCCACTGGTCCCATCACCTCCTGGCAAATAGAAGGGGAAGAAATGGAGGCAGTGAGAGATTTTGGGCTCCATGATCACTGCAGATGGTGACAGCAGTCACAAAATTAAAAGATGCCTGCTTCTTGGGAGAAAAGCAATGACAAACTTAGACAGCATCTTAAAAAGCAGAGACATCACCTTGTCAACAAAGGTCCGTATAGTTAAAACTATGATTTTCCCAGTAGTGATGTATGGAAGTGAGAGCTGGACCATAAAGAAGGCTGATCGCCAAAGAATTGATGCTTTTGAATTATGGTGCTGGAGGAGACTCTTGAGAGTCCCATGGACTGCAAGAAGATCAAACCTATCCATTCTTAAGGAAATCAGCCCTGAGTGCTCACTGGAAGGACAGATCCTGAAGCTGAGGCTCCAAGACTTTGGCCACCTCATGAGAAGATAAGACTCCCTGGAAAAGACCCTGATGTTGGGAAAGATGGAGGGCACAAGGAGAAGGGGACAACAGAGAACGAGATGGTTGGACAGTGTTCTCGAAGCTACCAGCATGAGTTTGACCAAACTGCGGGAGGCAGTGGAAGACAGGAGTGCCTGGCGTGCTCTGGTCCATGGGGTCACGAAGAGTCAGACACGACTAAACAACTAAACAACAACAACAGGGACTGCCTCCAAAGGGTTTAATCGGGCAGTGATGATGGGACCTTGACAGGCAAGACAGGAGTGTCCGGCAGACATCCTCCAGCTGGACCCAAGCCAGGGACCATCTTTGTCAGGCAGCCCAGAAGGACACCATTGCTGAGCAGGTCAAAATTTGCTAATAGCTCCAGCAGAACCAACAGGGAGACAACCCCCCACCCTGTGTTTCCAGTTCCCACGTCATCTACCCAGTGGCCAAATACATCTGTCTGAAAACTGGAACCAGGATGAAATGGGTTCAGAAGAACAACATATTCCTCTCACAAGGCCTCCATCCCTTTCAAGACCCACTTGGGTGGATGTCTTTATGTGTGAGTGAGCTCACACACCCCAAGATCAGGCCCACAAACTGAGATGGATCCAGGACCACGTGAGAAGGACCTCCTTCTCTTCCTGCTGCTGCCACTAAGGGTCCATGGTTGGGTTCTGCTGTCACTCTTGAATCCAAATCTGAGCTGCTTTATCTGCAAAGCGTGAAGCTTAAACTGACCTTTGATGATTCATCCTTAGCTGCAGAGGGTCCTTGATGCGGTAAGCTACTACACTTGCAGGACGCTGTGCCAATGCAACAACGGTGGGACAGTGAAATGCCTTTGCCTCCCTCACTGCCACAGTGGAGGCCAGGGCCAGCTCAAGACATTTTGCTGCCCGAGGCAAAGGACAAGATGGCACCTTCCCCAAAGGCACACACAGAAGCCAATTGGACTGGTAGTTGAATTTTACTCCAACATGGGGGAAAGAACTGTGTCTTCCACCACACTTGAGGACACTCGCAATTCTGGCCAGTCCCTGTACCTCAGCATCTGCTGCCTGAGGCAGCTACCTCATGCTAGGGCCGGCCCTGGCAGAGGCCCAAACTGGGGTTCTGGCCTGCTCTCGGTAGCAGTTTTCCTCCATGTTTAAACTAGCCATCATTGCCCCGGTTGCATTCATGCAATTGGCCCCACCCAAGACTCAAAATATCAGGGCTGAGAGGTCTCCTACCTGCAGTGAAGCCATAGAGGAAACGGCTTGTCAGGATCATTTCGAAAGAGTCGGCCGTCCTACTGAAGCCAACGAGGAGGGCGGCGGCGATGGTGACAATGTCGTTGAACAGCAGCGTTTTCTTTCTGGAACGGACAACGTCCCAGGGTGAAGAAGAGGCTTTCGCCCGCCCCTTTGTCCCCAACTGAAGAAGCAAACCCCCTGACTGACCTCTTGCCAAATGAAACATGGCAAATAAGGGATTCAAAGCACATGATTCACAAAATGATGTCGGCGTCACAAGAGTGACATACTTCTTTTTTTTAAAGGAATATTTCTGTATTTTATTGCTTAGAGTTAGAATCATAGAATCATAGAATTGATCCCGAGATGATTCCAGGAGGATAGCAATAACAACAATAATAAATGTATTATTATTGTTGTTAAATTTTTAATACTTTTATTTTGCTTTAAACAAACACAGATAAATATAAACAACCAAAATTACAAAAGAAAAATCCTTAATAATAATAATAATAATAATAATAATAATGAAAAAAGCTAAAAAACTACAAAAAATAAAAGTACATGGCATAGAACATAAGCCATTATGGGAAAGAAAAAAGAAACAGGAAAGAAGAAGGGAGAGGGGGAAAAAAGGAAAAGGGGGGGGGGAGAAAAAAAAAGAAAAAATAGGAAGATGAGCCAAAACACAAGAAGGCTCATCTATTGTATGCTTCCATCAAGCTCACAACAGATCATTATTCTTATCAATTCTCTCTATCTGCATTCCATAGAATCCCTCATCTTGGTATCAGGGAACATTTCCCTATGTGGTATCATCCTAAACATAACCAGGTCTTTCTTGATGAACCCTTATCCCCTAGATAATTATTTAAACACTCCCATTCTTCTTCCACCATCTTTTTTAGGTTTATCTCGTATTGCATCTGTCAGCTTCGCGAGCTCCAAGTAATCGTACAATTTGACTACCCATTCATCTTGACATACTTTATTAATGCCCATATTGACATACTTTATTAATGCCCACAAAGGGGTGGGGGGCACCAGGGCCTCCTGGTAAGGAAGGGGCTTACTTTCCATATTGGGTGGTCACATGCCCACTGGACAGGTTGCCCAGGAACCCACCCAGGCAGAAAATGGAGACGACTGCAGACCACAGGAAGGTGAGCGTTTCGTGGTGAAGGGCAGAGCCATACCGCTTGACCCATGTCTGGTTGATAAATGTCTTGATGTACTGGGAAGGGAATAATAATAATAATAATAATAACAATAATAATAATACTTTAAAAATTAAAGAAGACATGAACTCCATCACCCACCCACTGTGTATCTCTTATATTGAAAGCTCTTGGTTTTGTGTGTGTGTGTGTGTGTGTGTGTGTGTGTGTGTGTGTGTGTGTATTTCTTGGTTTACAAGAGAGGATGCACCTCCACAGGTATATACCTCCACATGTGGTGGGAATGTCCTAAAATCCAACTCTTTTGGACATCAATCATACAAGAAATATGCAAAGTAACCAGTGCTTTTTTCTGGAGGGACGCAGGGGTACGCATACCCTTAAACATTTTGTGAATCTAAGTTTGGCCTCATTGAGGGGCAGTATTTCAATATGAGTAGGAAAATGAGAGTACCCCTTAACCTTTTTTTAAAAAAGAATAAAAACACTGCAAATAACTAAGCAAGTACAAGAAATCACCCCAGAACTGGCCCTACTAAACATCCAACGAGACAATACTCCCCACTCACATCACAAAGAGCTCATAACCCACCTACTCTCAGCAGCCAGAAGCATCATAGCCAGACACTGGTAGCATATTTTTTCAACAAACCACATTATTTTCCAGACAGCAGCCCCTGCTCTGCCCTGCCTTGTTTACAAACCTTCATTTCCTCCGTTGGTATGAAAGGAGCTGGTTTGGATTCAGGGTACAACCTTCTCCAGATGACAAAACTGGAGAAATCCTGCCCCTCCGGACACACCTGAGCCAATCAGCAGGAGCCAACTAGCTCTTTTGGCCCCTCCCCCTGGTGGCAACCCATGTGACCCAATCCCTCCGCCATGCCTGTATCTCCACCTGAACCACTGCTGGCTTGAGATGATACTGCTGCCCGTCCTGACATTGTGGGCACCAGCTAAGCGGGTGGAGGAAAAGAGGTCCCGGGCACAGCTGCCCCTCACTCACCCCTTGAAAATGGGAGCTAGCACCCTCAGGGGCAACCCCACCACCCATTTGTCAGGGGATATCCCCACACCCTGCAAAGCCATCTTTCGTATGTGCAGAGAGCCTGTGAAGCCAAATAATCTACCTAAACACCACAAAGCTGTTCTCTTTTTGTATCAGCTGAGGCCACCGTCGGACGAGACCCCTCGAGGCTATCGCCAACCCGCATGTGAGAGGGAGAAGGTTCAACTATAATCCCCTTTGCTTACCTGAGAGGGATAGCTGATCACGGAGATCTGGAAGCCGATCAGGAAGGTTCCTCCCATCCCCACCACGAAGATCATTTGGAACACTCGCTGGTACCGAATCTGCCAAGAGAAAACACCGCCGTCTGGGCCACGTCCTCGCCTCCCTTCTGCAGCCACCATCCAAGAGATGGCGAGGGCTGGTCCAGCACCCAATGCCCTATGATGAGGCAGGGAAGGAGTCAGGTGAGAGGACGAGGGGGACAACAGGAGAACCAGGTGTGACCCTGATGCCTCCGCCAGGTGTTATGAACCCACTTGAGAAGTGACTGACCGCCTCAGATGGGAAACAATTGTTCTCCCCTCCATGGTATTCATTTAAAGCCAGGGGTCAGCAAACCTTTTCCAGCAGGGGGCCAGTCTACTGTTCCTCAGACCTTGTGGGGGGGGGGGCTGGACTATATTTTGGAAGGGGGGATAGGAACGAATTCCTATGCCCTACAAATAACCCAGAGATGCATTTTAAATAAGAGGACACATTCTACTCATGTAAAAACATGCTGATTCCTGGACCGTCCACGGGCCGGATTGAGAAGGCGATTGGGTGGATCCGGCGCCCCAGACCTTAGTTTGCCTACCTGTGATTTAAAGAGGCTTTTCTCAAAGAATCCTAGCTGCAATTCCTAGCATCCTTAACAAACTACAGGTCCCAGCCTACTTTGTGTGTGGGGTGTAATATCCTGCCCTGAAGCAGAGAGAGAAAGAGAAGGGGATTGCAGAGGAGGTGTCGTCTCCCCCCCAAGATTGGTGAAGGAGAAGAGCAGGTCTTCTGGGGGCTGGGGTGGGACATCCCAGAGGTGGGGTCCTCAGCTAGGAGTAAATAAAAAGTGCTGAGTCTCTTTCCTCGGCAGGCTGAAGTGCCCAATACTCACCAAGTCAGAGAAGACACGGGCTGCCATTTTCCGCAGGAAAAGTTGTTGCTCTGTCCCTGGTCGTTGGTCAGGTGGGCTGAGAGCTCTCTAGGCTTTCCTTGACAAACAGCACAACGCAGGACAGTGAGGTAGCAAGGAAGAATGGGACTCCAGCCCAAGGTATTATTTCGAGGATTTCAGTGACTTTTGACCCATCAGCAAGTTGCCCCCGGTTAACTATTCCAAGAAGGAACTGAGCCAGCCCTAAGTCATCATGAAGTCAGCTTTCTCTTGGATTGACACAGCGCCATGGCCTGATAACTGGGGCAGGACGCAGCGGAATTCACCTTTGCCTTTCTTGCTGGCATACTGACCAGGCCTCTGCCCCATATCTGCTACATCAGGGGCTTATTTTGTAATAGGGAGAGGAGGAGAAGCAACGGATGTCACCACCTGCAATTCTACCTAGCTTCCCCTCCAACGTTTCTCCAGTGAAAACAGGGACATCCTATTCCATAATAACAACAATAGTAATTTTATTATTTATACCCCACCCCTCTGACTGGGTTGCCCCAGCCACTCTGGGCAGCTTCCAACCTACATAAAAACATGAAAATAGGGACATCCTAAGGAAAAGCGGGACATTCCAGGATCAAATTAGAAACCGGAATGGCTTCTGTAAATCCGGGACTGTCCCTGGAAAACAGAGAAACTTGGAAGAAGATTGGAAGAAATTTAAAGACTACTTACAGAAATATTGTAAAATTAATGAATGTTAGAATGATGTTGGATGAAAAGTTATGTGGTTTTTAGCTATAACGCTATAAGGAGTATGAAAAAATGGGCTATTAAAAGACAAAAATTTAATGTTACATTATTTTAAGATTAAAGATTAGGATAAACAAAGAGGGGAAGGATTTACTGAACTAACAAATTGAACTGGAATACAAAAAGGGAGGTGTGAGGAGGTCCGAGAAATAAGCAAATGAAAGAAAGTGATGGAAAGATGGAATTGTTTTTATCTACTTTTATTTTGTATTTTTCTTTTTCTTTTTTCATTTTGTAAAATTCTAATAAATATCTTAAAAAAGAAAACAGAGAAACTTGGAGGGTCTGGGATACCAAGGCTCATGAAGGCAGGATTAGGGATAGAGCCCAGGAGATTTGTGTGTGGCATTTTGCAGATGCTGTAGTCTTCAGATCCATGTTCCTGGTCATGGGTGAGAACAACACAGGCAGAAGAAGAAAGATACCTTTGGCCACTGGAGATGCTGAAGGCCTGGGAAAGGCACCCAAGAGCTTGATGGTAGTGACAGCAGCAGACCTCACACTGAGCAGCCGGACTCCAAATACTTTTTTGAATAATAATAATAATAATAATAATAATAATAATAATAATAATAATAATTTATTTGTACGCTGCCCATCTGGCTGGGTTTCCCCAGCCACTCTGGGCAGCTTCCACAAAGACCAAAAATACACTAAGATGTCACACATTAAAAACTTCCCTGAACAGGGCTGCCTTAAGATGTCTTCTGAATGTCAGGTTTATCTCTTTGACATCTGATGGGAGGGCGTTCCACAGGGCGGGTGCCACTACTGAGAAGGCCCTCTGCCTGGTTCCCTGTAGCTTTGCTTCTCGCAATGAGGGAACCGCCAGAAGGCCCTCGGTGCTGGACCTCAGCGTCCGGGCAGAACAATGGGGATGGAGACAGTGCCGTGTAGGAATGGGCCGGGCCTGCAGAGTGTCATTTGCCAAAACAAGCAAGTCCTGTGTAAACGAGCAGAGTGTATCTTTTGTGTGAAGTTGATGGCTTTGGATCTCTGCTTGAGATGACCCCATTCCAAGAATGGTTTTTTCTCATCCTGGTGATGTTTGGCCGCTGTGGGGTGCCAGCACAGCCTCCTCCGGCCCTTTAGCAAAACACAGGCCATAATGGGGTCTTTGTAGAGAGAGGATTGGAAAGCTCCATGAGTCCTTCTCCACTCAAACACCAGGCGGCTGAACCAACCCTACAGCACATTTTCTGGAGTGGTTGTGAGAAGGTCATTTGCCAGAGGAGGAGAGGTCGTAGGAGAGCTGGTTGACAAGGCAGAGAGGGAGAGCCAGGCTTCATTTCTGCTTGAATCCAAGGCTGCGGCTATGGGAGACGCAAGACCTTCTGGGCCACCCATCTGGCTATTGTCCTTCTCACTACCGGCCAGTGGTATGCACAAGGGAGCGGCTAGGGCCAGAGGTGCCACTTTGTAAAGGAGAATGGTGTTTGTATGTGAAATCGCACGTGAGAGGTTGCCACCTCCTGACATCGCATGCATGAGCATCATGCCTCCCTCCCTAAGCCTGGCAGAAGCTTCCTGGGCTTTGGGAAGGAAGCACCACGCTTTAATACTCTAATTTACCAGGAACATTTAGGGGACTAGGCTAGTCCCCCTAGTCCACTGACCACAAGTTACTGGGGCCCACTCATTTGCCAATAATAATAATAATGATAATAATAATAATAATTTATCACTTACTTATACCCTGCCCATCTGGCCAGGCCTCCCCAGCTCCCAACAGAATATTAAAAACACAATAAAACACCAAACATGAAAAACTTCCCTAAACAGGGCTGCCCTCAGGTGTCTTCTAAAGAAAAGTCAGATAGTTGTTTATTTCCTTGACATCTGATGGGAGGGCATTCCACTAGGAGGGTGCCACTACCGAGAAGGCCCTCTGCCTGATTCCCTGTAACCTCACTTCTCACAGTGAGGGAACCTCCAGAAGGCCCTCAGAGCTGGACCTCAGAGCTGAATGATGGAGGTGGAGACGCTCCTTCAGGTATTCCACCACAGAGCAGCTTCCTTTTTTATACTAAGGAATAACTATGGGGATAACTATGGTCCTTGCCTGGACAATTCACCATTAGATTTTAACTCTTGGTAGAACCAGGAATTAGAAGGGACTCAGGCATCATACACCCTCACCCCCGACCCCGAACAACTCACAACAATAATATCCCGGCTGACAGAAAGCTAGCCGTTGGGGAGAGCAGATCCCTTTCACGTTCTGTGCAGAGATGGTAATCAATTACCCAAACTGGTAATCCATTATCTAGAGCAGGCAATGACTAAACCTGGACTTCCCTCCATCTGCCTGCAATGCTGAATTAAACAATTACATGTCAACTGCCTATGCCAAGAAGAGGTGGGAGTTTATTTGGGGTCAAGATTAAGAGAGGAAACGGTAGACGGGAAAAGAGGATCCATCTAAAGCCCAAGGAAACCTCCCTGTCGCCTGCTGGAAATCGGGAGTTTCACAGCATCTGGCTCCCCATCCTATGCTCTTTTGGCGTGTTAGGGGCCACATGAGACACCAAGCCACTGACCCCCTATATGCTTCCCATATACAGTTGTACCTTGGAAGTCGAATGGAATCCATTCTGGGAGTCCGTCCGACTTCCAAAACGTTCAGAAACCAAAACACGGCTTCTGATTGGCTGCAGGGAGCTCCTGCAGCCAATCAGAAGCTGCGGAAGCCGAGTCGGATGTTCAGGTTCCAAAGAACGTTCGCAAACCAGAACACTCACTTCTGGATTTGCGGTGTTTGGGAGCCAAAACGTTCAAGAACTAAGCTGTTCGAAAACCAAGGCACAACTGTGTATACTGTCATTAACCAGCATTAGAAAAAGGGTTTTCGCAGATTTTCTTAAAATCTTCACTGGCACAGAAGATACATCAGTCCATGTTGCTCATTCCAAAGAAATAGTTTTATTTATATATTTTTTCATAAAGTTATTTCATGCCCTTGTCTTGCCAGGATTTCATTATTTCCTTCACACACATAACGAAACCAACACTTTTTCATGTTTGCATTTTGCAAAAGCTCTAACCTCTACAGTGTTTATTAAATGATGCGCGCCAACGAAGCTGCCTTGCTGCTTCTGTGATTTTTCTTTGCCATGGCCCCGCAAGCAGAGCAGGTTCGGGAGAGGCAGCTGCCTTGCTAAGGCTGTAGCAAACATGCAGACGTATATGCCCTGTGGCAGGAAAAGGCATTCGATAAGGCAACGAGCCTCCATCTGGTATACAAAGATGGCTGCCTCCCATCATCCCAACAAACCCCACTCCCTCCTGGATCCTGAAATCGGGGATCAGAGGCATCAGTAGGAGAGGGGGGGCGATGAAAGCAGTCAAAGCTCTGTCAGTGGAGCATGAGACTCTTTATCACAGGGTTGTGGGTTCAAGTCCCACATTGGGCAACAGATTCCTGAATTACAGGGGGTTGGACCAGACGACCCTAGTGGTCCCTTCCAACTTCACAATTCTATGATTCCATGGCCCACAAGGCACTTTCTCAGAGAATTCTGAGGCAGGGAGCCATGATTAACACCCCCACTCCACCCCGGCCTTGTTTGGAGCACTTTCTCCCCACCCCCAGCCCTACTGGTGCACGGTGGTGGATACCTTACTGTGGTAGCATCTCTGAAGCTACCTCAGTAATACTTGAATCCTATGGGATCCAATGGGAATAGGGACCATTCTGGCATTTCAGACTATAATGTGCATTGTACAGTCAGTAGCTCATAAGGAAAACAAGCCTTATGAGGAACGGTTGAAGGAGTTGGGTATGTTGGAGCCTGGAAAAGACGAGACTAAGAGGAGATATGATAGCCATCTTCAAATATCTCAAGGGCTGTCACATGGAAGAGGGAACAGCTTGTTTTCTCCTACTGTGGAGGGTAGGACTCGGACCAATGGCTTCACGTTGCAAGAAAGGAGATTCCGACTAAACATTCGGAAAAAACTTTCTGACAGACTTCCGCGAGAGGTGGTGGACTCTCCTTCCTTGGAGGTTTTTCGGCCGAGGTTGGATGGCCATCTGTCATGGATCCTTTAGCTGAGATCCTTGCATTGCAGGCGGGTTGGACGAAATGGCCGCTGTGATTTCTTGCAACTCCTACCATTCTGTGATTCTAGCTATATGATTGTCCTGACATGGGACTTTTCGAATGAAAATGTTGCAGTCTTTGAAAGGTGGGACAAGGTTTTAATGCTTGCTGGGAAACAGAAGAAGGAGCAGTAAAAGAGCGAGAGCCAAGGGAGGCGGGGAGAAGAAACACTGGCAGCATGACCATCCCAGAAGAAGCTGGAGAAAGAGAGAGACCATGTTGTCACCATCATGGCAGCTAAAAGAGGGACACCTCCGCTCAGTCTGCAGGCTTCAGCCAGTCTTTAAAGCGCATCGTCGAGAAAACTAACAGCTACAGAGATACATCACGGTTCTTCTGGCTATTGGCAGTGCAATTGTGGGACTGACACTGAAATCAAAAGTCTGGGAATCATCAAAGGTCGTTTTGTACCATAAAATAGTGAAAAGGTTGGGTGGCTCGTATATAAAAACCCAACAAATCTAGTGACGAAATTAAAGGAAATCCAAAGGCAGAGAGGCACAAGCAAGAGTTATTTGAGGTAGTTGCTGCTCTGCGTGAAGGAAGGAGGAGAAATTATTCCGGGTGGCCACACGGGAGCACTACAGGTACGGCTACTGCTCAGAGAACTTGCAAGGAACTCAACAAAGCAGCAGTAACACACTGTTAAAGCAAGATATGCCTGTCCAACCAGCAGGAGGATCCAGCCCACATAACACCTACAGGGCACAACAGGGAAATTTCTAGAAAGAGAAAAAAAAGCATCCTTATCCCCCCCCCCAGTCCCTTGGCACAGCTCAGGGGGTGGAGGTGGGACAGTGGCAGAGTAGCTCAAGCAAACTTAAAGGAGGAAAATCTACCATGATCGCTTAATAAAAAAAGAATCCAGTGCACGATGGAAGTTCTTTCAAGGTTCCGTATTAATTCACTTTTTAAACTCGGAGTGAAGTAGCCAGGACTTTTCTCAGAAGGATCTCTAGCAGGGATTTGTGGAATATTTTCTATATTTTAACACACTTTCTGTCAAAAAAATATGCCCCAGGTACGTTAATACATGTTAAAGAGGCAGCTCATTCGTAGATCGGGGTGGGGTTGGGATTGTGGGTTTCTCCTAAACGAAACTTCTCAATACATTTGGCTATCAATACATTTGGGCATCGATTAAAGCGCAGGTGGGTTTTCCCTCCTCGTGAATCAATTTCACGTTTAGAAAACGGTCTCCAAAGCAACACCCTGGAATAGTGCGTTGCTCCCCGTAACTGACCAAGCCTGGCAGCTGATGGTGAGAAACAACATTTTAGGGTTCAAATTCCAGACTCTGGGCATTATTTCTTATACAATGTATAAGAAATTCTAAAACTGAAAACCCACTAAAAATCTTGGGAGTGGACATTTCCGTACAGGACTTTTAACGCGCAAATCAGTATTTGAGAAACAGAAAATGTTCCATCCCACCTCCCCACTCTAAACTCGCTTCAGCTGCAATTTTTACCCCATACTGGGAATTTGGGGGTGCAGGTGTGTGTGTGGAGGGATAGATCTGCCTGGTGGCACAAAACCAACTTTCTCTCCCCGTGTCCCTGTCGTTCTCCTCCATCCTTCGGGGGCTACAACATGGTGGACTTTGTTTCCTCGGAAAGACTCTTGGACTCCTCATGAGCCTGCGCTTTGAAGTTCCGTTTGTTGAATTCCTCAGAGATTTCCAGAAAGGATTTCCCTTTGGTCTCGGGGAGGAAGAAAGCGACATAGAGGGCAGCGGAGACGCAGACGATGAAGAAGGGGACATAGCAGTAATGGCCAAGGCCTTCCTGAGGGGAGAGAGAAGGAGAGGCCTTCAGTTTGTCCGTGATGCACACAAAGCGAGCCCCATAATCAAACTGTTCTGAACAGTCCCCTCTGGTGCTGCTCAGTTTGCTCTGGGACTCCCTCCTACCCAAAGTGTCTGCAACGGTAGCTGCTTAAGGATTTGCATTTGCGGTCCTGATGGTCACCAACTTGGTAAAGGTAAAGGGACCCCTGACCATTATGTCCAGTCGTGGCCGACTCTGGGGTTGCGGCGCTCATCTTGCTTTATTGGCCGAGGGAGCCGGCGTACAGCTTCCGGGTCATGGGGCTGGCAGGACTAAGCCGCTTCTGGCGAACCAGAGCAGCGCACGGAAAGGCCGTTTACCTTCCTGCTGGAGAAGTACCTATTTATCTACTTGCACTTTGACGTGCTTTCGAACTGCTAGGTTGGCATGAGCAGGGACTGAGCAATGGGAGCTCACCCCTTCACGGGGATTCGAACCGCCGACCTTCTGATCAGCAAACCCTAGGCTCTGTGGTTTAACCCACAGTGCCACCCACATCCCTGGCCACCAACTTAGACTGCTTCAAAAGAGGATTAGAGTTAGACCAGGCACCCCCAACCTGCGGCCCTCCAGATGTTTTGGCCTACAACTCCCATGGTCCCTAGCTAACAGGACCAGTGGTCAGGGATGATAGGAATTGTAGTACAAAATATCTGGAGGGCTGAAGGTTGGGGATGCCTGAGTTAGACAGTCCTTTTTGTTGGGGATAATTCAGACTGAAATTCCCAGGTGTCAGAAAAGTTGATTTATGTGTGCCACTACTGCGGCCCATGTTTTGTTAGCCCCCAAATGGAAAACGAGCAAGGTCCCAATTAAAGAAAAATGCCAACTTAAATATATATATATGCGCATACTAAAAAAAAATGCTTTGACAAATTCATGGAGGAGGAGGCTGTCAAATCCGCTTAGTAGGATTGCAATGCAAATCGAAATTGGACAGAAAAGAGGAGCAGTGGCTTCAAATGGGTCCCTCCCACTTCCTATCCTGTCCCAACAGCATTGACCCATGGTTCAACCCAGCATGGCAGTCGGACGGACAGAGTTTGCTTACCACAAGGAAAGGAAACACCATGCCCACCAGGAACAAGTTGGCCCACAGCAGAGCACCACAGATCATGCAGGCAGCTGGGCGAGATACCTGGTCGAAAATCTCCATGGGCATAATCACCGTCACGCCGGCTAGGCAAATCAAACATATTTTCCATCACTTTCTCTCTGGGGCTGCAAGGGTCAAGATGTAACGCCAGGGCACTAGCATCTATCCAGATTGTGCGGGTGTGTTAATGGCGGGAGGCTGTAAAGGAAGCTTCCTCAAACTCGGCCCTCCAGATGTTTTGGGACTACAACTCCCATCATCCCTAGCTAGCAGGACCAGTGGTCAGGGATGATGGGAATTGTAGTCTCAAAAACATCTGGAGGGCTGAGTTTGAGGAAGCCTGCTTTAAAGAAATAAATCTTCACCGGGAGGGTGTTGAGCACAACAGAGTGGAGGGAAATGAGGCTCCTCCAATATCACTTGCTCAATTTCTGCTACACCCGCCTTCTCTTTGGAATGTCTCCATAGCAATTGCTTTGGGCATCAAGTTGAGAATCTCCATCGGCAAGCATCTAGTCCTCATGGATGCCAAGGCTTCCAAACAAAACACCCACGTCATGTTGACGTGCGTGCCTGCTCTTGTTTCAGGTTGAACGTGAACGCCCCAATGCACAGCTTTCCAGGGAGGGAGTCCGCGCCGTTCTGACTCACCTGGCCCAATTCCAAAACTCAGGATGTAGGCAAAGATGCAGGACATGCTCAGGTAAGGCATCCAGCTGTATTGGTCCTGCAAATCCAAGAAGGCAAAGTGTTATGTACTGAGTTGAATAGGATCCAAAAGGCAGCAGTCTGATTGGTCCTAGAACAATAGGATTCAGAATGCAGCAGTCTGATTGGTCCTAGAACAATAGGGTCCAGAATGCAGCAGTCTGATTGGTCCTAGAACAATGCAGCAGTCTGATTGGTCCGCAGGAGCCACCCAATCCAGCTCCAGGTGGAACTGAATCCGCAACCTGATTGGCCTACAGGAGAATCCCAGAATTAGCCAATCACGTGCGGCCCATTGTGTAAATAATGTATATAAAGCAGACATTCTGGGGGAACTTCCATTCCTCCTCACCACTATGAGCTGAATAAAGAGCATGAAATCCACACTCGACTCCGAGTATATTTCACAAAGGCAAAGGGTTTAGTGGAAAATTGTGTGGGAAACTGCAGTCAAAATCCAACAGTGCATATTCTTCCTAGTTCATAAGTTTAGGAGCAAATGACCACAGAACTGTATTGCTGATAGGCAAAGACTCAGGCCATAGAGATGTAATTGGTAGAGAGGGTTCTGTGTGATGTCATTTCCCCATCTCTCCTGGGAGGGCTATGTAATTTCCTGTTCCTCTCCCACTCTCTCTCTTTCTTTGACCAGCCATGCCTGAGACTATTTCTACTGTGAATGTAAATATTTTACCTGCACAGTTTTACTGCTGCTGTGGCTGAGAACCAGTGCAAGACTATGCGTAAGTAAATCCTGTTTTAAGCTTACTTCCACAGTCGGTTGTCTGATTTCTTGGTTATGCGGGGCAAATGGGAAGGGGGAGCCAGCTCGCTTCATAGCTGGACGTAATTAAAAGAAGGCTTCGCAGTCTATTCTGACATGCCTCAATTTTTCTCCCAAGTGTGGAACTTTTTATTATTAACATTTTATTTAAATCATTTCAGTCACAGGAAATATAGTGATGAAAGAGAAGGAAAGATAAAGAAAGTGTGGGAAAACACACTTTAATGCCTAAGGATGGAACTTTAAACTCTGTTCAACAGACACACAGGAGCACCTGGAGGGATAAATTGCTATTAATATATCCTCTCCTACCCATTAAAGGTAAGGGACGCGGGCGGTGCTGTGGGTTAAACCACAGAGCCTAGGACTTGCCGATCAGAAGGTCGGCGGTTCAAATCCCTGCGACAGGGTGAGCTCCCGTTGCTCGGTCCCTGCTCCTGCCAACCTAGCAGTTCGAAAGCACGTCAAAGTGCAAGTAGATAAATAGGTACCACTCCGGCGGGAAGGTAAACGGCGTTTCTGTGTGCTGCTCTGGTTCGCCAGAAGTGGCTTAGTCATGCTGGCCACATGACCCGGAAGCTGTATGCCAGCTCCCTTGGCCAACAAAGCGAGATGAGCACCGCAACCCCAGAGTCGGCCACGACTGGACCTAATGGTCAGGGGTCCCTTTACCTTTACCCATTAAAACCCATTCCACAGAGTCGGACTCGTATTTGGGTCCTGCTCAGCCCCTCCTTCAAGAGCTCAGTTACCTGCAGAGACAGGGCCACCATGAAGACAATGGCCCACACAGACATGAGACTGTATCCGCCCATCACCAGCTTCCTTCGTCCGACATGCTCAATGATCAGATTCTGGAGCAAAAGCAACACAGGGAAGTTATCACCAGGGACTCTCAAACTAAGCCTGCCCCAAAGCAACAGGGAGTTGGTCTCACGGCAGGTCTAATTATTATTTGTATTATTATTATCGAGTTCATATACCTGGAGGTCTCAGGGCGGTTCACAGAAAAGATCACAACATACATAATCAGAATAAAAACAACAACCCAATAACACCCCTCCCCAGAAAAGAGCCACATTTTAAAAGGGTATAGGATGTCAAACAGACATTCTAAAGGTGTGTAATGAAGGCGCCAGGCGAACTTCCCTGGGGAGAGCATTCCACAGGTGGGGAGCCACTGCAGAGAAGGCCCCGTTCTCGTGTTGCCACCCTCCGGACCTCTCAAGGAGGCACACGAAGGAGGGCCTCAGGAGATTATCTCAGGGTCTGGGTAGGTTCATATGGAAAGAGGCAGTCCTTAAGGTATTGCGGCCCTGAGCCGTTTAAGGCTTTATAGGTCAAAACCAGCACTTTGAATTGGGCCCAGAAACTAATTGGTAGCCAGTGCAGTTGGACCAGGATTAGACTCAAATCCTGGTTAACACTCTTCATTGTAAAAAATAAAAGGAGGGAGGGGAGACCAGGCCATTTGATGGTTCTGCAGGCAGACACCGCACCCCCCCCCAGCACCCCTGCTTTCTGCTAGCAGGGTGGATTCAAAGTTCTGCCCTTTGTCTGTCCTGAGTTTCACAACTAGCTATGCCCAAGAGAGTCACATTATCTCTCCCTCTTTCCATTTCCCCCCATATCATGTGAAACTCGCGCAGTTCCATCCACTTCTCGGCCTTGTCTCTAAAAAGTGCTGCAACCTTTTATCGTTCCACCCCCTTCATCCCCCTGGCTGCCCTTTTCGGAACATTTCCCAGCTCAGCAGTACCCATTTTGAGGTGAGGCGAACAGAACTGGGCCTGAGAGAGAAGGCAGACTCCCACCCCTGTATGAAAGCTCCACCTCCCCCAGAAATGGCTCCCCACTTCACCACTCAGAGACACCTCCCCCCCCCCACAAAGCGAAAGGTCCAAGCGCTCTCCGTCGCTGCCTATTGGACAAACCAGTATTTTTGGGGGGGGGAGCAGCGGAAGGAAGCGGGTCGCTGCCAAAGGACAGCAAAGATTCTCACACAAGTCATGGCGGTGATCAGCTCGCAGCTGCCCGTGCCGATTATGCTGTACTGGATCTTGTCGTAAGGGATCCCGGCCTCTTGGAAAACGGTCGAGGCATAGGAGTACATCTGGGGGACACAAAGGGAGATGGAGGAAGGATGAATGGAGAATGACAGGGCTCTGGTTTTGCTGCAGACACATACAGGAAAGAGAAGCAGAGGGGAAGAAGGGATAGCGGGTGGTGGTATGGGTAAGCATATTTTTGCAAGCACCTCTCCAAAGAGCACCTCCTGTTCTTAAAAAGGTAAAGGGACGCCTGACCATTAGGTCCAGTCGTGACCGACTCTGGGGTTGCGGCACTCATCTAGCTTTATTGGCCGAGGGAGCCGGCGTACAGCTTCCGGGTCATGTGGCCAGCATGACTAAGCCGCTTCTGGCGAACCAGAGCAACGCACGGAAATGCCGTTTACCTTCCCGCCGGAGCGATGCCTATTTATCTACTTGCACTTTTATGTGCTTTTGAACTGCTAGGTTGGCAGGAGCAGGGACCGAGCAACGGGAGCTCACCCCGTCGCGGGGATTTGAACCACCGACCTTCTGATCGGCAAGTCCTAGGCTCTGTGGTTTAACCCACAGCGCCACCCGCGTTCTCTCCTGTTCTTACACAACCCCCAGACCTGTGCTGTGTGGGTCAAGGATGGCCAAATCCCCCCAGAGTCCAGCCTGGCTCATAACGCCTTTGACAAGCCCACCCGAAGGGTCTCTCTCTTCTTCTGGAGCCTGGCACTTTTGGGTAGCTCCTGCCTGGCCCGGCCAAAGACCTGAACTGGCACCCCCCTATCAGTGGCATAGCGTAGGTTGCTAGTGCCCGGGGCCACATGGAGGGAAACAGGTGGAGTACACATGCACATTCAGGTGTTTGCGGCGCCCAGGAATTCTCAGTTGCAGAGATGAGTTGTTCCATTGTCTGGAGAGGTCACTTCCTGGTTGAAATGTTGCACCCCTAACAATTTTGCACCCGGGGCAACCGCCTCTGTGGCCTCCCCATGCTATGCCACTGCCCCCAACCCCACTAATACTCAAGCTGATTCCGCCCTGCCTTCTCCTCCCTGTCCCCAGTCACTCACAGAGTCGTTGCCGCAGAGCTGCATGGCGCTGCTGAGGAAGACAATGGTGATGAGCTGCCACCGCACGGCCGGGTCCCTGAAGAGCTCCCAGGGGGCCTTGGCTGTCACCCCTCGGAGTGCCGCCTGCTCTGCCAGCAGCTCCTTCATCTCCCCGCCCAGGTCGTCGCTGCCCCGCAGCTTCTGCAAAGCTGGAAGAGGCAAGAGGGGCAACATAAGGGCTGCAAGCATGAAGATGGAGCGGTCAAACTCCAGGAGATGCTCCGAGTTTTATTAGGGATTCCAAACATACCCTGAGCACCTGTTGAGCTCCTGGAGCTTGGGGTGAGCTTGAAAGCAAATTAGGAAGGCAGCCCACAAACGATAGCAGGGGTACGGGAAACAGCTCAAGCTGCTCTTGTTGTGAATCTACTTTCTCCTATGGGAGGAACCATGCACCATCCCCTATGGATCTTCCCTTAAACAGGGTTTCCCAAACTTGGGTCTCCAGCTGTTTTTGGACTACAACTCCCATCATCCCTAGCTAGCAGGGCAAGTGGTCATGGATGATGGGATTTGTAGTCCAAAATTAGCTGGAGACCCAAGTTTGGGAAATCTTGCCTTAAACATACACATGAGTAGCGATTATTTATACAGGGTGAAGCCTGCCCTTTTGCATCAAGACCAGGCCAGACTGGAACTCAGAGCCTTTGGAATGGAAGCAACCAAGGAACTCGATGCAAAAGGAGAACCAGAAGGCAGTTTTGTCCTGAGTTTGGGTTTTTTTTTAAAAAGCAAGGAGAAGCACTGAGCACACCCACCACAGATGCAAGATTCCTCATCTCCTCGGTCGATCAATAGGTACCGGGGGCTTTCCGGGGCCCAGGGCAGCAAGACCAGCTGGATCAGAGCAGGCACTGCGTTGCTGGCCAGGAGGAGAGGCCAGCTTTCCTCCGCTCCTAAAATTTCTCTGCATTAAAAATACAGAATTGTGTGAGCAGAACCTTTCTGAGCCAGCAGTTTGGGCCTCGCCGAGCCGAATGTACATATTTACTTTTTCTTTTTACGTCTGTTTGTCACTTTTCGCACACAGAACAGTGGCCCCAAAGCAACTTAACATATTAAAACCCCATTTAAAGAAATAATAAAATGCAAGAGCTGCAGCTCAGAGGAAGAAGGCCCCGATTTCAATCCCGAATGGCATGTCCAGGTAGGGTTTGAGAGAGACTCTCTGCCTGAAACCCTGGAAATCTGCTACCAGTCCGTGTAGACAATGCTAGATGGAGCAAGGGTCAGACTCAGCAGAAAGCAGCCCCGCATAATCCTAATACTAGCCCCACCCCAGCTTCTTTCTCTGTGCCCCAGGAAGGGCTTAATGTAGCTGCTCAGCATCTAATTGCCATTCTGGGCAAAGATGCTACAGATCATTATGAGACCAAGTCGCCGGGATTGCTGTGCTTGGAGTACCCTTTGCTGCAAGAGATGCAGAGGTTTGCTGTGGCCTTGCTGATTTCTTTCTTCTTCTTTTTTTCGGGGGGTGGAAAGAGGATGGTACCCCCAACAGCTTCCCCAGGATGCCCCTTTCAGCCTTACCTCAATCCAACCACCTGTCCCATCACCAACCCCAGGGCCGTGAAGGATGCAGACGTCAGGGCCACGGCTCCACGGAGTTCCTTGGGGGCGCTTTCTCCCAGGTACATGGGCTGGATGTTCATGCTCACGCCTGGCCAGGAGGAGAGACAAACAAGGATCAGGAATGTGGCAGTGCTCCAATCTATAGTGGTTCGTCCTCCCCCCCCCCCCACGCACACACAGAGAGAGACTCCAGGCCGGCTGGGACTGGTCAGATGACATTTATTTATACCCCAGCCTGCAGAAACAACAGTAACTTTCCCCAAGTTCTAACCTTTGCCCAAACTCGTTTGTCATCTCCTCCTCCTCCCCACCAGCCTCGCATCTCGTCCTAATGTTTCCCCTCTCGTGCCCCCAAACTTTCAACTTTGTTTATTGCTCTAGGAATGTTCAAAGGTGAGGGAGGCACTTGCCTCCCAGCCCCCGCTTGCTTTCCTTAGGTAAAGGTAAAGGGACCCCTGACCCCTCGACCAGTCGTGGCTGACTCTGGAGTTGCGGCGCTCATCTCGCTTTATTGGCCGAGGGAGCCGGCATACAGCTTCCGGGTCATGTGGCCAGCATGACTAAGTTGCTTCTGGAGAACCAGAGCAGTGCACGGAAACGCCGTTTACCTTCCCACTGGAGTGGTACCTATTTATCTACTTGCACTTTGACATGCTTTCGAACTGCTAGGTTGGCAGGAGCAGGGACCAAGCAACGGGAGCTCACCCTGTTGTGGGGATTCGAACCGCCGACCTTCTGATTGGCAAGTCCTAGGCTCTGTGGTTTAAAAGAGTTTGGATTTGATATCCCGCTTTATCACTACCCGAAGGAGTCTCAAAGCGGCTCACATTCTCCTTTCCCTTCCTCCCCCACAACAAACACTCTGTGAGGTGAGTGGGGCTGAGAGACTTCAGAGAAGTGTGACTAGCCCAAGGTCACCCAGCAGCTGCATGTGGAGCATGTGGAGGAGCGGACGCGAACCCGGTTCCCCAGATTACGAGACTACTGCTCTTAACCCCTTGCTTTCCTTACATTCAGTCAATTATCATGCCCCTTCTGTCGTCTCTTCTCCAGGCTAAACATAACCAACTCCTTCAACCGTTCCTCATAAGGCCTGGTTTCCAGACCCTTGATCATCTTGGTCACCCCTTGGCTACACACCTTCCCACTTGTCAATACCCTTCTTAAATAGTGGTGCCCAGCAGTGGCGTAGCGTGGGGGGTGCAGGGGGGGCCGGCCGCACCGGGCGCAACATCTGGGGGGGGGGGCGCTCGCACTCGCAGCTCTCTGCCCCTACCTGGCTCACTCACTCTCTCTCACTGCAGTGCTGGCTGTGCGAATCTGATCCGAGCCGCTGGGTCGCCGCCCACTGTGGAGGGGGTGGGTGCCAGGCGTGCGGTGCGGAGAGAGAGCGAGGGACTATCTGGGGGAGGGACAGTGCAGCGGCCGCCCAGCGCAGCGCTGAGCGCGGGAGAGAACCACACCAGACCAGACCAGGCAGCAGCAAGAAGAAGCTGGCAGCGGCGGCAGGTTAGGGTTAGGGGGCACAAATTACTTGCCTTGCCCCGGGTTAGGGGGCGCAAATTACTTGCCTTGCCCCGGGTGCTGACAACCCACGCTACGCCGCTGGTGCCCAGAACTGGACACGGTACTCCAGGTGTGGTCTGACCATGGCAGAATAGAGCAGTGTTTTTCAACCTTTTTTGGGCAAAGGCACACTTGTTTCATGAAAAAAAATCACGAGGCACACGACCATTAGAAAATGTTAAAAAATTTAACTCTGTGCCTATATTGACTATATATAAAGTAATTCTCTTGAATAGGAATCAAATAAACACAAAGAAAGTATTTTATAATTACTTTATTATTAAATAGTAAGTAAACAGAAATGTGAAAAATTATAAAATACTGTATTTTTAAATCTTTCGAATATTTCAATTTTTCCCATGGCACACCAGGCAACATCTCGCGGCACACTAGTGTGCCGCGGAACAGTGGTTGAAAAACACTGGAATAGAGCACGACTATTACTTCCCTTGATCTGGACACTATACTTCTGTTGATGCAGCCTAGAATAGCATTTCCTTTTTTTCCTGCTGCTTCACACTTTTGACTCACGTTAAGCTGGTGGTCTACTAAGACCCTTAAATCGTGCACAGCTGTGAAGCCAGTTGTCCCCCATCCTATATTCGTGCCTCTGATGATTCCTTCCTAAGTGTAGAATTTTATATTGGTCCCTATTTAAATTAATTTTGTTAGTTTTGGCCCAGTTCCCCAATCTTTTTTCAGGGAATATCGAATCCCAATTCTGACTTCTGCAGCATTAGCTACCCCTCCCAGTTTGGTGCCGTCTGCAAATTTGATAAGCACCCCCTCCATTCCTTAATCCAAGTCATTTATTAAGATGTTGAAAAATGCCAGGCCTAGGACAGAACCCTGAAGCACCCCAGTTGGCCCTGTTTCTCGGGGTGACAAAGAACTGGCAGAGAAAGATCTGCTGACATGGATTCCTTGACTGAAGACTTAAGGGCTGCCTGGTTATTCTTCAGTTGGTTAGACGCTTATCAGATTCGCACACACTCCCCATTTTCAGTGGTGTGGCCTGCAGGGAACCTTGAACTCGCCCACTCCTCCTTACCTACCAGAATTGATTCCTGCAAGAAATCTGCTCAGCAAGATCATTTCAAAGGATCTGGCCATTTGGCTGAATCCCACCAACACCGCAGCCAAGACCACAAACAAGTTGTTCAGCAGCAAAGATTTCTTCCTTCGGAGAAAGAAAAAGGGATAAAAGGTGAAATATACTCGGAGTCGAGAGTGGATTCCATGCTCTTTATTCAGCTCATAGTGGTGAGGAGGAATGGAAGTTCCCCCAGAATGTCTGCCTTTTATACATTATTTACACAATGGGCCCCACGGGATTGGCTAATTCCGGGATTCTGCTGTAGGCCAATCAGGTTGCCGGATTCCCTTCCACCTGGAACTGGATTGGGGTGGCTCCTGTGGACCAATCAGACTGATGCATTCTGAATCCTATTGTTCTAGGACTAATCAGACTGCTGCATTCTGGATCCTATTGTTCTAGGACCAATCAGATTGCTGCATTCTGAA